AAAAAACTTTAAAGAATATAAAAAATTGATTTTTGAAAGAGAGGAAAATGAAAATTATTTTAAAGAAATTGAAAAAGTTTTGGAAGAAATTGAATGGAATATTTTAATTGGAGGAATATTTAAAATTAAAGAATTTGATAGTAATGAAGAAGTAAAAGGAGATAATGAAATTAAAGCAATTATTCCTTTAAAGAAAATTAAAAACAACAAAAAATTTACTAAAAAATTTGTTGAAAATTGTTTAAATTATTTGATGTGTGGAACTAAATTAAGAACTAAAAGTCTTGGAATTTTGGAAAATATGCCTAAAATAAAGTTAAATTGAAGTGAAGTGTATATCATAAAGTGTAAAGTGTATAAAATTAAATGTATAGAGAAGAAAAAAAATGTTTTAAGAGAGTGTTACTTTTAAATTTTATTATTTAAAGATTATTTTTTATTATTGCATTATTCTTGATTATTTAAATGTCTTTTTTTAATTTCCAAAAAATTATGTAACAAAATTTAGATTATATATAAATTTGTATTTAGTTTTTTAATTAATTTTCAGGATTTTGTTGAAAGAATAACTACCTATACATTTTTACAAATATATTCGTTTAAAAATTGTAAGGACGACGGTTTCTTTCAGATTTAGTTAATATGTATGTAAAGCATAAACGAAGACAATTAGTTGGTGGGAGGAGGATATAGCAGTTTATATTACATACATAGGAGAGCTCTCGGAGGACAATTCTCATCCAATCTTTGACATTTTCTGGGAAGAGTAGAAAATAGTTTTAAAATTATTTTTTAATTTCTTTAACTTTACAATTTCGAAATATTTGCACTTTAGTGCATCATCGCTAATGCATAAATAGACAAATTAAAAATAAATTAAAAGGGCATAAAAAATCGGCAAGAATAAAAAGAAAATCCACGCATTCCATTAAAAATAAATAAACATTCAATAATTTATTTAACTTGCTTTTAAAAATAATAAAAAGTCATTTTTATAAAAAAAATTTTAATTAAAATCTTTTAAAATAATTTTATTAATTCAAAAATAATTTTTATTTTTTAGTTATTATTTCAATTTATTTTTAAATGTATTTTTCTATTAAAAATAATTTGTTTATCTTAACATATTTATTTTTAATTTCTTTTATTTGTAGTAAAAATATTTTTTTATCAAATGATGATATTGAAGGTTAAATTTAAATAAAAATAAATAAAAATATTATTTATTTATTTTTAAAGGACTAAATAAATGTAAAAACGATTTAAATCTTTTAATGGAAGGAGTTAAAGCTGAACTTGTACCGCCGTCTAATAATGATTTAAAAAAAATTCAAATTAATTTAGAGGAAAATATTTTTGAATTAATTGATTTATGTTTATACGAAGGTTTTGTTAAAAAAGTTTTTTTTTAATTAATTTTTAATTTTTAAGATTCTAATAAAAATATTGATGAAAATTTAAATTTATTTAATCCAAAAATGAAGCTTGCTAATGATTTGAGTAATTATGGAGGATTAATTGCAGCAAAAATTTGGACAAATGACGAATTAACAGAACATATAATTATTGATATTTTGCCTAAAGTTGAAAGAATTAAAACAATAATTGAAAGAGAAGTAGGAAATGATTTGAAAGAAAATTATTTTTTTGAAAAGAAAATTGTAATTGGAATTGAAAATATTTTAAATAAATTTTTAATTAAAAAAAGAGAAGAAATAAATAAAATTAAAAAATCAAAACAATTCTCAAAATATTTAAAAATTTTCTCTTGTGGGATAGTTAGAAAAGATTGTTTAGAGAAGGAAAGAATTAAAGAAAAAATGTTAAAATTGGAAAATGAAGAAAAATTTTTAAAAACTTTAATTGAAAAATATTCGAAGATTTTAAAGTTAGCCAAAGAATTAATAAAAAATTTTAAAGAAATAATAAGTGAAATTAAAGTATTATTTTAATATATTAATCTCGATTTTCTCACAATCTCCAAGTTCATTCTCTAGTACAGATTATTAAAGTCATTATTTGGATATTTACTTGAAAAGTAGAGTTTTCTGATTTAGATATCAGGATCGAAAAATCCGGAATCTGGAAATTTCCACGGATTTACCAATCTTAACGAGGAGGACTAGGCTCTTGTCCTTCCTTGTCTTTTTTGTTGTCTTCCATATTTGTATAAACTTTAATTAAAAATAGCTCATGATTTTTAAATGAATCTAAAATACTTTTCCAATTTTTCCACCTATATAAAAAATAATAGTAAATTAAATTATTAGCCAATTTCAAATGAGAAGCAATGTAAATTTACAGCAATTAAAAGCTCGATAAAAGAAGGTCTAGCTTTAAGTCAAGCATTAGAATCTTTTATAAATCCTCAATCGGATATTCCTATTCAAGAAAGAATGGAAGAATTAAATAAAACATTTTTAAAAGCAAATAACGGATTACTTAGATTAGGGATTTTAAATGAAGTTACAAAAAATAACTGTGAATGTTTGCAAGAAAAGGATAATTATGACAGTAGAAATATTTTTAAAGAATTAACTGGAAGAGAAATACCAGAAGATTCAAGTTTTTGTTCTACAATGTCTATGGAACAAAGTAAAGAGAAAGATATTGAAGAAATGTCGCTTAAATTTCACGCAAGATATTTTGATTCTAGCTTTAGAGGATTTAATGATTTACAATTTAATTTATTGAGAAAAATGTCAAAATTATTTCTTTTTTATTTTAAAATTAAAGAAAATAAAGATAATGAGAATGAAGAGAATGAAGAGATTAATAATGATTTTAGTATTATTCAAAAAAGTTCTGATAATTCTAGTGAATCATTTAATGAAAAAGTTTTTGAAGAAAACAAAAGTGAAATTGAAATGATTGAATATAATAGAAAATGGAAAGGGAAAGGAAAAATTGATAATGATAATGATTATATTGATAATGAAAATGAAAAAGGTGAAAAGATTATAAAACAATTTATCGAAAGTATGGAAGACTTTGGAGGTAATGAATCGCCTAAAAATAATCAAAATAAATTATTCGGCGATGAAGCTTCAACTTCTGCCACTAAAAATGAAATTGTACCTGAAATTGAAAATGAAAAATATAAAGAAATAGAAATGAATGAAATTAAAGACAATAAAAATATTAAAAGATTGACTCCTGAAATATTCAAAGAAAATAATTATAAAAATATAAAAAAGAGAAAATACAATGAAAGTAATGAAAAAAATAATAATGGAAAAATAAAAAAGGAGCTTAAAAGAAAAAGAACAAATAGCTTTAAAAATTTTATTAAATTTATTAAATTGGAAAAAAATAAAAGTAAATCTGAAGTGCCCGTTTAAAGTTATTTGTGTGCGTGGATAAATGGGGATTTTAAAGGAAATATAAAAAGAAGTTTAAAAAATATATTTTAATTTTTTTGTTAAATTATTCTTATATTAATTAAGTCTGAGATATGTATTAGTTAAGCAAATAAAATCATAAATTGTAGAATTTTTGAACGTTTCATGTTATAGTCTTTGTAAAATTAAATAACTAGATTTATTAGCATTAAATTGTTTTGATTATTACACTAAAATCACTATTATTTTTTGTTTCTTTTCTTTATTTGAAATACTCTCGGAAAGGAATAGAGAATATTACGATTGACCTTTTTAGTTCGGTCAAAATATCCATAAAACAGTAAAATTCAAAAATCGAGTAGACGATAAATCTAATTCTTGATTAAGTTTAAGTCGTTTAACTGTTTTGGAATATTTCTATCTCTATCTCTCTCTCTCCCTTACTAGAGATGACGAGAAAAACTGAAAAACCCTCAGTTCTTCTGGTTAGTTCAGGCAAATCGGTAACCCTAGTTTTTTGTCTGTTTGAATATGAAATGTTATTAATTAAATATTGGGAAAATATTTAATTTTCATTATAATATTGTAAGAAATAATTTGACAAAAATAAAAATATAATTTTATTTTTGAGTTTGATTTAGTGTACATTGATTGTTATAAAGAGATTTTTCGATTGTTTTCTCAGCTTTAACTTCAAAAATATTCTATACCTATTAATGTTTTTTTTCAAATTTATACTCAAATATTTAGTTTTAAATTATTTATTTTTTGAAGGGTAAGAACAATTTAAATTAGGTAACATAAATAAATAATTAAATTCTTTCTTCTCTCTTATAATAATTTACCAAATAATTTTGTGTTAATAATTTGATTTTTAACCAAAAAATTTTTCAAAAACTTTTCATAAATAATCCGCTTTAGCAATTTTTTTTTAATTTTGCTAAAAGATAATATTTATTTTATTTTATTTTAAAATTTTCTTATCAAAAAAAATATTTATTTAAGATATTTCTAAATTAATTTATAACATTAATGTCTAAATTATTTTATTTAATTATTTTTATTTTTTATTTAATTACAATTATCTTCATAAAAGGTAAATATACCTAATTTAAATAATCTTATTTTTGATAAACAAAATTATTCAAAATAACAAAAATTAATTTCCAATTTCTCCCTTTTTAATTAAATATTTATTTTTAAATTAATTTTTATTTTATTTTAAGATATAAAATCTTTAAAATATTTACAACAAAATAAAATAAAAAACAATCAAATAAATAATTTTAAAGAAAAAAAAGTAAATATATTAACAACAACAAATATTATTTTTGTTTTTTCTTTTTCATTTAAACTTTTTGAGACTGAACAAAAAGAAGTTAATGATGGTAATTAATTTAATTTAAATAATTAATTACTATGAATAATTAAAGATTATAAACAATTTTGTGAAGAAATTGTAAATTATTGGACAAATAATATAACGGTAATGTAAAAATAAATAAATAAATATTTTTTAAAATATATAGAAATATGGAATGTTTGTATTACCAAATAATGAAGAAGAAGAAAAAAATAATTGTTTTTGGCTAGAGAAAGATATTTTAATAAATAAATGTAATACAGAATTTGGAACAATTAAATCTGTAAAAATGCATGATGTTAATACAAGTAAATAAATAAATAATTTTTAAATAAATATTTATGTAGGTCTATACGAACCATCAAAAAATATTAGTTTACAACTTTTAAGCGAAGCAAATAATATTTTAAATAGTCAATGTAATGAAGAAATTAGAAATTCTACAAAAATTGTTTTGCACACAAATTTTGCCGAGAAGGTTATTTTAATTGTGCTAAATTAGATGAAGTTTTCGGTTCTTTGAAAGTCTTTTGATATTCTGATCTAGTGGGGAAGCAGTCCTCGATTCCAAACCTATTATTGAATATTTTGAATTTTGAAATTTTATTTAAAAAATGACTTTTATTCATTTATTTAGGCTCTTATTAATTCACATTTAATTGATCAATTTGAAAATGCTAATATCGTTGCTTGGACAATATTTTCAGCAAATTATTATTTTTATACATTAAAAAATATAAATAATTTATATTATTTAAATATAAATTATTTAAATAAAATTTTGGAAGAAAAGCAACCAATCATTTATTTATTTGCTATATCTAATAAATTAAATAATTATCAAAGTATAAATATTTTGGATGCAGTTAAAGCCCCATTAAAAGAATATGACAAAAATAATGTTTAAATAATTTAATTTAATTTAAATAATTTTTTATTTATTTTTAAAGGGTGGAAATTGGAAGTTAAATATTATGCTGTTAGCCTCTTCTAACAAACTGTGTTACTTTTGGGATTCTTTTTTTATTGTTAATTTTTATTTAGATGTACTTTTAGAAGAAGCTAAACGTAAAAATAAAAATAAATTTTAATTTTAATAAAGAATGTTTAAAATTAATTTTAAATAAGAATAATTAATAAATATTTAATTTAAAAATTAACAGATACTATAATACAAAATCAAAAAAGTTATTTATCGGCAATTACTGAACTTGCAGTAAATTGCTCAGAATTGGAAATATTAGGTTTTGATATGCTTGACGAAATTGAGAATAATATTTTTTATGAAAGAAAAAAACTTTTGAAAAAACCTTTTTTAGTATTAATTACTGATGTTTTTGAAGAGGTACTTTTTATTTAAAAATATATTTAAATATAGATTAGAATAGGACAAATAAATAAAGAAATTTTAATTTTAAATTCTTAACTAGACTTGTAATTTTTGTTAATTAATTTGTCAAACCTAAAAAAGATATACTACAGGGTGCGCCATAAGTAATTGCACACTTGTTTTCTCTCATAACTTTATTAAAACACAATCAAATGAAATCGAAATACAATCAAATGATAGAGAATTAAATAAGGAACAAAAATAATCAAGAAGATTCGAGATGCCCACCCTTGGCTTTGATACAGAGGCGAAGGCGTGAAGTAAAATTTTCGCAAATAGCACGCACCTCTTTGAGTGTAATTAAGTCCCACTCTCGGGCGAGAGAGTGGCGCAGAGACTCCAAACTTTTGTGCGGCTTAGCACATTCCCTGGACTCCAAAACAGACCAAAAAGAATAATCCATCGCGTTTAAATCGGGGGAGTAGGGCGGCCATTCCTGAGCGCTAATGAACCCAGGAAAATTGGCCTTGCACCAGTCCTTAACTTCTTTCGCCTTGTGTGCCGTACAGAATCGTGTTGGAAAAGCAAGACCCTGCGACCGAAATGGCTCTTGAACCGAGGCTTCAGAACACGCTAAAAAAATTCTCGCAAGTAATAGTCTTTGTTGACTTTTACCCCGGGATCCACGAAAATAAGAGGTTTTTTGACTGACGCGCAAATACCGGCCCAAACCATGACAGATTGGGGATGTTGGGAATGTGTGATAAGCTTATCGGAAAGAGGAGATTCTGTAGTCCAGATTCTATAATTTTGATGGTTGTGTACGATTTTTATTGTAAAAATTTTTTCGTTTGTGAAAAGAATGTCCGGACATGCGTGCCACAATCAAAAGAGATGAAATTTTGCGGACTGAATTTTTTTGCAAAAAAAGTGAGATTATAGAATCACGTTGACTAACCATAATAGAGAATTGAATGAGCTAAAAAATAAGCCTAAAATCAATTAAAAATATTGACAACAAAAAAAGTTATAAGGAATTAAAAGTGTGCAATTACTTATGGCGCACCCTGTAAATTAAATACTTTTTCAAAATTTTTAAAAATCAGGATTTTGTAAGATTTCATTTGCCTGATCAAAACAAATTTAATTTTAAAATTTATGCTTTAAAACAAAATGTTCGTGACCGTTATTTAGCTAACAACTTTAATTTTACTTATTTTATTGATCCTCAAAACCCTTATGGAAATATTTATTGGTATCAAAATGAAGAAGAAAATTTTGAAAAGCAAAGAAATGATACCCAAGATAATTGTAAGAATTTAAAGGAAATTGGGAAAATTTAAACTTTAGCATATACTATTATTAATTGGCCTATTTTAATTATTCCTGTTGCCATTTCTTTTTTTATTGGGTTAGCTGCTGTTTTTGTTATTGTTTTAATTCGTTATCGTCGTTGTGTTTGTAAATTACTTTGGTTAAATAAATTGGAACAATTAAAAACAGAACATATTTATACAGCTTATCAAAATATTCAAAATAATAAAAAAGTTGAAAATAATTGGAAAGAAGTTAAAGAAAAAATGTAAATTTATAATTAAATAATAAGCTTAAATTTTTGTTTGAAGAAGAGATTGTTGGGAGCTTGATTGGGATCAAATTATTTTTACATCTGAACAATTAGGGAAAGGTAGTTTTGGAGAAGTAAGGAAAGGTATTAATATTATATGATGATAATATTTAATAATAATTAAGGAATATTAACTAAAGTAGAGCTTAACTCCCCATATTTTGGTTGTCAACTAAATAATATTCGAGAAGGATCACCTATTGCAGTAAAAATTCTTTCAGATCATTTAATTGAACAGGAACGGCAAAATTTTTTATGTGAAATGGAAATTGTAAGCAAAAATTAATTTTAATATAATTTTAAGAGAAAAATGTGGAATCTTTTAGAAATTTGAGAGAATTTTTAATTTTTATTTACCATTTTATTTCATCATTAAATGAAATGAAAAATTAAATTTTAAAATATTTAGATGAAATTATTGAGAAATTCCCATCGATGTATTGTCCAAATGATTGGATGTATAAGTATACCCGATACTACTCTTGGTCTTGTACTCGAATTTTGTTCTAATGGAAATTTGTTAAATTATTTACGTAAATTATCTGAAGAACAACAAAAATTGACAAAAGAAAATATTAATAGTGATTTTATGCGTTTTTCATGGCAAATTTGTGATGGAATGGTATTAAAAATAAATTAGATGGTTATAAAATAAATTAAAAATTAAAGAAATTCTTGTCAGAAAAACAAATTATTCATAGAGATTTGGCTGCTAGAAATATTCTTTTAGATGATTTTATGGTTGCTAAAGTAAGTTTTTATAAGGTAAATTAAAAATAAATTATTAATTAAATTAAAAGATATCTGACTTTGGACTTTGCATTTTTGATAATTCAAAAAATTTGTCTAATTTTGAAAACCATTCAATTCGATTAAAAACAATTTTAAACAACAGAGAAAAAGGCCAATTAAACGAAAAATTGCCTTTAAAATGGTTAGCACCAGAAAGTTTGTCTGAAAAGAAATTTTCAGAGAAAAGTGATGTGTATGGTTTTTTAAAAAATTTTTTAATTAAATAAAAAATTAGTTGGTCATATGGTATTCTTCTTCATGAAATTTACACTTATGGCAAAAACCCTTTTGATGCCATTGAAAGGATTTCTTTATTAGAACAAATAATTAAATACAAAAATAATATTCAAAAACCTTCAATTTGTCCAAAAGAAATGTTTGCAAAATTCTTTAAAATAAATTAGGTATATATTTTTTAAGATTTGAATTGATGATTGAATGTTCTAATATTGAACCAGAAAAGAGACCAAATTTTGAATTAATACGAAATAAACTTTCTTTTCTTTTGGAAAGAGAGACAGGTAAAATAAAAATAAAATAATTCTTAAATTATGTTTACCGTATTTTCTCGATTAATTCCCCTGGGGAATTATTTTTTCAACCCTTCTTTGGCATGGGGAATTAATCGAGGGAGAGGAAATATTCGAATTTTGGCATTTGAACGTGCAGTAGGGTATTTGGGTGTGGGGAATTATTGTTTCAATCCAACTCTAGCATGGGGAATTAATCGAGAGGAGGAATTTATCGAGAAAATACGGTAATTTTAGAAAATTATGGATATATTTCACTCAAATGATGATAAAGAAAAATATTCAAATTAATTTTTGTCTAATGAAAATATAAATACATACATATATCCCATTTTCAAAATGTTCTTAAAAGTATAACATTGAAATAGTGGATTTTTGTTATGTTAAAATTATTTGTATCTCATTGTATGCCTCGATCTATAAACAATTTATAATACATATTAATCGAGAGGAGGAATTTTGTTAATATTTAATATTATTTAATTTTAATATTTATTTAATTTTTGTTAATATTTATTTAATTTTATAAAATTTCCACAAATTTATTATTGTCTTTAGATTTTTTTATTCATTTTTTCTCTATCAATAATGAAGCGTTGGTCTTCCACCAATATATTTTCTTTGGATGTTGGTAGATTTAGTGTAATGATGGCGTCCAGGTAATGCTGGTCTTGGCTCTAAATGTGCTCGATAATCAGGACCTTGATGTTTTTGTTCAACTCGAATATATGGGCCTTTAGTGAAAGTATAGCTGTCTATAGCTGGTTTACTTGACCAGCTATATTCACGCTCTGTTACAATACGATCTGCAGGAGGTCCGGCACTTGGACTACGATATGTGGATGAATGCCAAGATGTTGTTTTATTTCCGATACTTAAATTAAATATAAATTTTATGTCATGAATTGTTTATAAAATTTAACACACCGCGGTATGTGCTTGTCACCTCCACCTGTAGTTCTATATTCATATGAATATGTTGACATTTTTATTTTTTAATAAAAATTAAAAATTAATTTTCAAACTATGATTTAAAATAAAAAAAATTAAATTAAATATTTAATTTTTAGGTGTTTAATGAATGAATCAATCAATTTGTTTAAAAAATAAATTCTTATTTAAATAATGTTTTTCTCTCCTCCTACTTTATAAAAAAGGATTGTCTTTATAATATTTAACTAAATTGAAAATAAAATTTAATCGAAAACTAGTTTTTTAAAATAATTGACAGGTCTTAATACAGCTGATTTAATGCGAGAATCACATGCCTTTATTTTAAAAAAGAAAGATACGACAAAAATCTAATTAAAGAAAAATCCCAATTATGTTCAAAGACTAAAAAATAATTTAAAAATTTAGAAATGTTTAAATAATTAAATGTAGAAATAAAATATTTAAAAAATTAATTTAATAATTAAATATTCTTTTTCATATTTTAAAGCTCTATTTATCTACAAACAAATTTAAAATAATTTTTGCTTGAAGTAGTTGTTAGAATAAAGAAATGTCAAAACAATTGTTGTTAAAATACTTAATATTTTAGTGAAGTCTTACACGCTTAATTGAAAGTGGACATACAGAAAGAATATTAAAAAATAACAATAAAATATTTAATTTTAATTTTTAATTTGAATAAAATATTTATATAACCCCGAGTTTGTTCTAATGTTATAAAATATTATGTATTTAAAAAATTTAACTGATTCAGAAATAAATAAAAGAATTTATTGCTACTTTTACTAAAAAATATATATTTATTTTTTTATCTAAATTAAAAATTCTATTTAGTAACACTAAAATGCCACAATGTTTGTGTAGAGTAACAACACCAATTAATTTTTGATGTCATTACTTTTTTCTTAAAAGCAGTAAGGCGTAAAGCCGATAATTAGATTTATTTGCCATAGACTCACGTAACTGGAATGCAAAAAGTATTGTTTTTATTAGAGATTTTTTTATGTTGAAACAAATCTGTTAGTTTCTGATAATTTTTAAAAAAAATATATTTTTTTTTAAATTTAATTTTTAAAAATTATTTTTTAAATTAATTTTTTAATCCTTTAATTGCTAATTTAAAATGATTAATAAAAGACAAGCTTTCTCATCTGGCAATTCAACAATTCAAAGTAATAATAGTTCAAGTAACAGAATGAGTGGAAATTTTCATTCAAGTCAAAAAAGTAAACGAAAATTGGTTAGATTACAAAGACAACATTGCATAATTGGTTAATTAATTAATTAGTAATTTATATATTTTTATTTTAAAGATGATGCTCCTTCTGAAGAAAATTCTGTTGGAAATGATTTTTGGATTGGTGTTGCTCCTTTATTGGATATGGCTGGAACAGCAAGAATTTTAGGTGTTTTTATTTATTTAAATTTATTTAGAATGTCTGAGAGTGAGAGAAAGTTTTATTTAATTTACTAAAATAATATTATTGTTTACGTTCATTTTTTTTTATTTTTGTTTTTATTTTTCTGTTAAACTTTTCATTTTTTTATTTAATTTAATATAAACTCTGTCCTTTTATTAGATCATGACAAATTTTAAAAAATATAAACAAAAATAAATAGTGTATTTTTAAGTTAAAAAACTAAATTTTAAATATTTTTTTTCTAAATTTTTTAAATCTTTTTTTATCCAACTACTAAAAATCAAAATGTAGAATCAATATATTTTATATTATAATTACTCCATTTTCATTTATTGTTTGCTTTAAATAAAGGCAGTAACAAAAATAAAAACGTCGAAATTTTGGCTAAATGAGTAATTTTCTGGATTCTGAGGGGAGGGAGGAGAGGTATGGCAGCAATTTTGGCCCATCAGACTTAATGAGTTGGCAAGGAGCAATGGGCGATGGCCAAAGGCATTTATTTGTTGGTCTAAACACTTTCACAAAAATTTTGTCTGAACATTATAAAAAATATGTGGGAAATGTTTTTGTTTACCTTTCTTTCTTCTCTTTTTCTTTTTTATTTTATTTGGACAATTCTTAACTTTAAATTAAATTTATAAAAAAATATTTTTATTTATTTTGAAGCGTGCAAAGCTGCGAACATTTCCTCTGCAATGTTAGCACACAGAAGAAAATCATCGGCACTTCCAAGTATCGGCTGCGGAGGTATTCATTTTCCTCCCCCTTCAGCATATTGTGGGAAAAAATCATCAGGAGCAAGCAGCATTTTGTTAACAAATCCAAAATGGCAACAAGTTTTGTACATATATTTTTTTAAATTAATTATTTCTTTCTGTTAAAGTATGAACTTCATCACCATCCATCAACTTCAATGCAACAACAACCTCAATTATCAAATGCCCCTTCATCTCATTCTGCAATTGCTTCGGCAGCTAATCGCCGTCAAACAGCTCGGGAATCTGTCGCAATTTTAGCTGAAAGTTGGGGTGTTTTTGCTGTTGACCCAAATGCTGCTTCTGCAAAAGAGGAAATAACTGGTAATAAAATAGTAATATAATTATTGTTTTTGTTGAATTTTGGATAAAATATTTGGGCAAATATTGTTGAATAAACAAAAAAAAAATTTCTTATCCTTTTAACTAAAAGAAGGAAAATTATGGTAATGAATGTGATGATGATGAGTGTTTTTAGTAAAAATGCAAAAATGAAAGAAGAAACGTAAAAGAGTCAATTCTTATTGTTTTTGATGAAAAGTATATTATATAAAAAATTAAATGAATTTAGGGGCAAAATATTATTTTAAACTTATTTTTATTTTGACATTTAAATTTTAGAAAAATTTGTTTCAGAAAATTTACTCTGTTTTATGGGGCTTTTTGAATTCACTCTTAAACTTGCCTGTTTAGCTTCGATGATTTCTGTTTGTCTACATACTCCTCACACAATTAGTCAATGGCCTTCATTGCTTTATTGGCTATTAATTGTAAATAAATAATTTAAATTTTTAAAAGAAATATATTTAAATTAAGAATGATATTTTCTGTACAACAATATTCTCGATTGATTTACTTTTAAAGGTCAAAAATATTTTAAATTTAAATTAAATTATTTCACAAAATAAAATTTAAAAATAATTAATTTTTGAAGATAAATACAAAAACTATATTAAAAGACCGTTGGTGTCAGTTTGACTTGACTATTTTATTTTTTCATTACGCATCTATTTGTATTCATTCTGCAGAAATTTCTGATAAATTATGGCCTTGGTTAAATATTAAATATGAGGGATGGTTTGTATTTTAAATGAAAATAATTATTTTTTCAAAAAAAGGTGGGGGGCTGTACGTTCACCCAGACCATTTATTATGTTAAAATTTATTAGATCAATTATTCGTTTTAAATTGCCACGTAATAGAATTCAAATGATTATAAAGTAATTAAATATATATTTAAATATTTTAATTAATTTAAATTTAAATTAAAGGAGGTCTTCTCAACAAATTCAAAATGTTTCCATTTTCTTTTTATTCTTTATAACTTTTTATGCAATTATGGGAGTACAACTTTTTGGCCGGATGGAATTTCATTGTGTTCTCCCAGGGACTGACCCTAATAATGTTACAATTGCTGGTAAATTAAAAAGAAAATATTTAAAAGAGAAGAGAAATAAAAATTATTTTAAAAATTAAATGAAAATAATTTGGCTTTTGTCCAGTTTCTACAATCAAAATTTATTAAAATTTTATATGTCCAATAAGAAACTTTGTATTTACATACATGTATCTCTTCCAATATATATTTTTAAAAACAATATTAGATCTAAAAATTTCTCTATACTTGAACCTTTAACTATATTGCTCAACGAGACCAAAAAAACCAAAATAAAAAAAAAATTAATTCAAATCCTATAAATTGTATAGGAGCTCATAATTTTAAATTAAATTAAATACGTTTTTATTTATTTATGGGGTATTTTTTTCAGATCTAGCTATTCCTGATACAATGTGTTCTCCAGATGGTCAAGGATATGAATGCCCGCCAACAATGGAATGTATGAAACTTTCTCTACGTGCAAACCAAATTGGTTTTAATTAACAAAAAATTATTTAAAAAATTAAATTATTAAAGGTTTTTATGGAATGTTTAATGATTTTGGTATATAATAAATAATTTAATATAATTAAATTTTTATTTTTTTCAGCATCTAGTTTATTTACTGTTTATTTAGCAGCCTCTCAAGAAGGCTGGGTTTTTGTTTTATATGATACTCTTGATACTTTTCCTTATTATTTTGGTCTCTTTTATTTTATTACTTTAATATTCTTTTTGGCTTGGCTAGTTAAAGTATTTAATTTTAATTAAATTTAAATCAAAAAAATATTTTTTAGAATGTTTTTATTGCTGTTATAACCGAAACTTTTGCTGAAATTAGAGTTCAATTTAGTGAAATGTGGCAAAGTAGAGAAGTACCTCCCAATAATAGAAATCTAGATAATATTAATCAAAATGTATTATGAGAATTTAATGAAAAAAAAAGATTTTTTTTAAATTTATTTTTAGAAATTAGAAAAAGATGAAGAAGGGGATTGGCATATTAAAGAAGTTGATTCTAAATTATTAAATTTTGGGGTAACAGAGAGGGGAACATTTAGACGTCTATTACTTGCATTTATATGTTCATCAACCTTTCAAACTTTTATACTTTTCCTTGTGTAATATTTTTTATAAAAATTAAATAAATATATTTTTATAGTGTAATAAATGCTTTAATTAATTCATCTTTTGTTTATCAAAATAATCGGAGTGATATTTACCGAAAAAGAATTTATTTTTATATTGAGGTATTTTTATATTTGAAAATAAAAATAATTTTTTTCAGTCAATTTTTACTTTAATTTTTTGTATTGAATGTTTAATTAAAATATTTGGACTTGGCTGGCATGTTTTTTGGCGTAGAGGACAACATAAATTTGAGTTATTACTTTGTTGTGGAAGCATTTTAAATATAATTCCAAAACTTTATAAAACAAATTATTTTACTTATTTTCAAGTTTTTCGTCTTTTACGATTAGTTAAATTATCCCCAATGCTTGAAGATTTTGTTTATAAGGTTATTAAATTTTAATCGGATTTTAAATAAATTCTAGATAAAAATTGGTTATATCTGATTATCTTCCCGCATCTTTAAAAGTATATATTTGTCCGGATATTTTAAGTAATGTAGTTGGTTCTATAAAATTATTTGGATATCCAAAACCGAAACAATTTGAAACGAACCAAAAATTTTGGAGGATGGCAAGAAGGGAAAATTTTTGAAGATTTTTTTCAAATTTTCAGAACAGGATAGGATAACAAAGCGGAAAAATCTTCGGTCCTTACAAATCGACAACTATTTTTTCTGACAATTTATTATTTTTAGAAGTAGCGATAATGCGGAGAAATTTAAAAAATAAACTTTATTTTCAACAAAATATTTTTTAGATTTTTGGTCCGGGTAAAAAACTTGGAGGGCTTATTTTATTTACTTTAACATTGGTAATGATTACCTCAGCAATTTCTTTACAATTATTTTGTTATGTGTCAGGATTAGATAAATTTAGAACTTTTCCTCAAGCTTTTATGTCAATGTTTCAAATAATTACACAGGCAATAACAAAAAATAATAATAATTTTTTTGTAATAATTTATTTTTAAAGGAAGGATGGACAGATGTTGTTGTTGAAATTTTACGTTCAACAAATGAATATTGGGTACCTTTTGTTGCAATTTATTTTGTTGGTTATCATCTTTTTGTTACTTTAATTGTTTTAAGTTTATTTGTTGCTGTAATTCTCGATAATTTAGAAATGGATGAAGAACTTAAAAAAATAAAACAATTAAAAGCTAGAGAAGAAGTATTAAGTATTAAAATTTAAAAATTAATTTAAACATTTAAAGACAACAACAATGCGTACACAACTTCCTTGGAGATTAAGAATTTTCGAAAAATTTCCATCTCGTCCACAAATGATTGAATTTAGAAAAATGTACATATATAATTTTAATTTTAAAAATTTTTATTTAAAGTTCTCGAGAATTTCCTTTACCCAAAATGAGGGATAGTTTTACTCGCCAATTCCTTGTCAATTTATCAACAGATTTTCTTATTAATTCATCATCAAAAAAAGAAAATAGTAGAGGATATGTTAATAATAAAGAATTTCTAAATAAAATAACAAGAAATTCAAAAAAGGAAATAACAAAAGATAATCAAAAGTTTTTTAAATTTAAAAAACTTTTTTTTAAACAAACAAATCAAAATATGTCAAAGAAAGCAGTTGGGAATTTAATTGAGTTAATTTAAAAATATTTTTTAAATAAAATAATATTTTGAAGTGAATCAAATAAACAACGTTCACTTCTTTCTGATACTTCTCAACATATTGGAGGAGTTAATGCTTGGATTAGGGGGGCAATTGGTGGAGTAACTAGAAGAAGGCGTGAACAAGAAAATCAGCAACAAAAAACATTTTCTTTCCAAAATGCTGAAAATAAAAAAGAAAATGGGGGAGATTTTAGTAAATTAATTGATACTGCCCCTAAGGAAGGAATTAAATCTGGGGGATTAGATATTATTGATATTAAAGCATTACAGAGGAAAAGGGATCAAGCAGAATTTACTAGGTTGTTTTTCCTTTAAAAAAATAAAAAAAAGAAATTTTAAAGAAATCGAATAGAAGAAGAAATGAGAGAAAATCATCCATTTTTTGATTCCCCTCTTTTTATTGTTGGTAGAAATTCAAGACTTAGAAGATGGTGTTTGTTTATTGTTGAAGCAAAATATTGTATTATAGACGAACAAATGAATGGATCTTTTCGTGGAATTAATAATTTTAAAAATATTTCTACAACAAGAAAACCTCTTGTTTCAGTTTAATTTTAGCTAAAATTTAATTTAATAATTTATACATAATTAAAGTTAAATAAATATAAACAAATTAAACAATTAATTGGGTTACTTACTTATTTGGATTGGACAATGGTTTTAATTACTTTATTTTCATGTTTTGCTATGCTTTTTGAATCTCCTTGGCCTATTTCTGGCGAAAATATGATTTTTAAAAATAAATATTTTGAGGTTATTTGAAAGAAATGTGAACATATTTTAATTTTTTAAGGCTTGTGATTTTATTTTTGTGTTAGCAATGAGTATAGAATTAACACTTAAAATTGTTGCTCATGGACTTTTCTTTACCCCAAATGCTGTTGTTCGTGATGTTGGTGGATTTGCTACACTTTTTATTTTTGGAAGTTCTTTGTGGTATTTAATTTGGATGCCTAAATATGTTCAAGAAAATTCATTGGCACAATTTTTAATGATTTGTAGAGCTATGGTTTGGGAGAATATTTAATAAAAAGATGTCTACTGCTTTTTTAGCGTCCCCTTCGGATTTATACTTTAGTTCCGCATATTCGACAAGTTGTTGTTGAACTTTGTAAAGGATTTCGTGAAATTCTTTTAGTTACAATTCTTTTAATTCTTTTTATGTTTATGTTTGCAAGTTTTGGTTTGCAATTTATTGGTGGAAAATTAGCAGCTTGTAACGACCCAACAATCACTTCTAAGGCAATTAAAATAATAAATTTAATTTAAAAAAATTCTTTTCAGAAAAATTGTGTTGGACTTTTTGAACAAAAATTATTTGTTACGAGAATGGAAGTTTTTGGAAAAGTTCTTTATAATTTTTATATTATAATTTAATTTTTAAAAAATAGAATGATGAAAATCTTCATCCAAAAATGTTAGTTCCTCGTGTTTGGTAAACAGATAAATATATTAATTTTTTTAATTTTATTTTTTTAACAAAAAAGGACAAATCCTCGTAACTTTAATTTTGACCATATTGGCAATGCAATGCTTGCTTTATTTGAGACACTTTCATATAAGGGATGGAATGTTATTCGTGATATTTTATGGGCTAGACAGGCAAAAATAAATTATATATTTATTAAAAAATATTAAAATTATTTTTGAGGGTCCTTGGGCTGTTTTATTTATTCATGTTTATGTATTTATTGGGTGTATGATTGGTTTAACTCTTTTTGTTGACGTTGTAATTGCTAATTATATGGAGAATCGGGGGACAGCACTTTTAACTGTTGACCAAAGAAGATGGCATGATTTAAAAGCTAGACTTAGAATGGCACAACCTCTCCATGTTCCTCCACGTCCTGCTGAATCTTCAAAAATTAGAAATCGGTTGTGGAAAAATATTTTTTTTAATTGAAATTCTCCAAATTTTATTAGACTATATGAATTAACAACAAGTCGTTCATTTAAACAATTTTATGCAATTCTTGTTGTTCTTAATTCTGCTACATTAGTAGTACCCTGGAGTGTAGAGGAAGAAGAACAACGTCGAACACTTTTATTAATATTTACTTCGTTTGCTGGTATTTGTTCTTTCCTTTTTACTGTAAATTTTAATTGGAAAAAAAAAGTTTTTTAAATATATTTTAGATAGAAATTTTACTAAAAAGTATTGCATTTACCCCTCACGGATTTTGGCAAAGTCGTCGAAATCGTGTAGATTTATTAATTACTTGTGTCAGTATTTTTTGGTTAATTGCCCATTTTGGTATTAGCGAAGTTGCTTTACCTATTGTTTCTTTACCACCTTCACAGTTTAGAAGATTTACTTATACACTTGGTTATATTATTGGAATTTTACGTTTCTTTACTATAACTGGTAGAAAAAGTACTTTGAAAATGTTAATGCTTACAGTTTTGTGGTCTATGGTTAGATAATTATTATATTTTACTTTAATTACTAAATTAGATTTGGCAAAAAATATCTGATACTAACTTTTGGCTTGGCTAAAATCCTCCCCCCTCTCAACCCCTTTCAAATTTTTTCCTTTTGTCAATTTTTCAGAGCCACCCGTAGAAATTTTTAGGTTTAAAATGTTTACCTCCTTAATTCCTTAACAATTTTTTTCTAATCCTTTATCGGATTTACTGTGTGTAACCTTAATTAATATTTCTTTTTAATAAAAAAAATTTTAATTAAAAAAAGGTTCGTTCTGCATTTATTATCGCAGCAATGTTTCTCCTTATTTTATTTTATGCCTATGCTGGGGTTATTCTTTTTGGAACAGTTAGATATGGTCAAGCACTTTCAAAACATGTAAATTTCCGTTCAGGAAAACAAGCATTAATGGTTTTATTTAGAAGTATTACAGGAGAAGATTGGAATGGTTTTTGTGATTTAAATTTAAAAATATTCCTTTTAATTAGATATAATGCATGATTGTATGCGTTCCTCTCCATATTGTTATTGGGCACCTTCTTTAAGTTATTGGCAAAGTGATTGTGGAAATTATATGGCCGCAATACTTTATTTTTGTTCTTTTTATTTAATAATTGCTTATATTGTTTTAAATTTACTTGTTGCCGTTATTATGGAAAATTTTTCTCTTTTTTATTCTTCTGAAGAAGATGCTTTGTTAAGCTATGCAGATATTCGAAATTATCAACAAGTAAATAATCTAAACCTTTCTACTAGTTCTCGGTAAAGCATTTCGAAAACACACACTTATTTGGAGAGGTCAAATAAAAGAATTTTTTGTGTTATAAGAGAGAGAGGAAGAGTTCGGATATTAAAAAATATTTTTAGGTCTGGAATATGGTAGATCTAGAACAAAAACATTCCATTCCTGTACGTCGAGTAAAATTTTTGCTTCGGCTACTTAGAGGCCGTTTGGAGGTTGATCTAAATAAAGACAAACTTCTCTTTAAACATATGGTTGGAAAATAAAATTGTTTTTTTATTTTGTATTTTTTAGTGTCACGAAATGGAAAGACTAAACAATGGGGAAGATGTTTCTTTCCATGATATTCTGAGGTTGAAAAATATTCTTTAAATTATGGTTTCTTCCCCATTATTGTAACTGTTCAAATTTATTTTATTCATAGGAATTTTAATTTTCTAATTATTTTTTAATTTTATATATTGCTTCCCCCATTTTAAGTCATCGTAATTTTAATTTTATAATTATTTTTAAAGTATGCTCTCCTATCGGAGTGTTGATATTCGTAAATCATTACAATTAGATGAATTAGTACAGAGAGAAGAATTGGAATATTTAATAGAAGAAGAGGTGGCAAAACAGGTAAAAAAGTCATTTTTATTTATTTTTTTAAATTTCTTTTTCAGACAATTCGTGATTGGTTAGAATCTTGTTTAATTAAAAATAAACAATTAAAAAAACAACAACAAGAAACGGCAATGGGGGATTTACTTACACAAATAAGAAGTACTACAACAACACAAACTTGTCAAACAAAATTATTATTAAAACAGCCAATAAGTCCTAAAAAACAAATTAAATGTGATAGAAAAGAAAGTTCTCCAAATAAAAAAAGTAGTGAAGGAAATTCTGAAATAGTAAAGAACGAAGGACCTTTTGTTAAGAATGAAGTATGTAGGGATTTGATTTTTTATGAAATTCATATTCGATTACTTTAAAATCTTTTAATTTAGTTTTTTAATTTAGTCTATTTATTGTTTGTCGAGACAATAAATAAACTCGCATAATTCTGAGAGCATATAAGTCTATTAAAATTTAATTTTTAAAAATCTAAAATTATTTTTAATTCTCTTTAAAAAACATTTTAGGAACAAACAAATAAGGTTGCCGAAAAAGTTGATAAACGACGTCGTAGCAGTAGTATACCAGAATTAGTTGAGGTGTTTTTAATTAAATATTTCCTACTTAAATTAAATTATTAAAAGGAGGCAAAACGTTTTGTTTGGGGTGGTCGACTAAAATCATTACCACGTATAAATTTCGGTCGTCAAAGACAATTACAATCTACAAATACTTCAATAAAAGAGGAAGGAGTAACAGGAAGTAATAAACAGGTAATTATGAAAAGAGGATAACATTTTCTAAATAATTAAATATATATTTAGCCAGACAGACCAACAATTTCAATAATATCAGAATTAATTGCTGGGCAAATGTGTCAACAACAACAATTATTTGAAATTGCCACAAAAGATCAAAATATTTCTTTAAATAAAAATCAAATTGAAGAAAATAGAAAAGTAAAAGAAAAAAAATAATAAATTTATTTAAAAAATTATTAATATTTTTTAAGTCTTCCCTAAGTCCAAGGACAGGAAAAACACACCTTTCCCCTACAACATTTTCAATTAAACGAGAAAGGGAAGAAGAAACAGAAAAATTATCTGTAGAAGAAACAGATGTCCGTAGATTGTCTTTAGGTATTTTTTAATTTTTTGAATAAAAAATAACTTTTCCTTTAATTAAATTCTCTAATTTTTTTAAAAAATTGCCAGACTTGTAAGAAGGCAAATATTATACAATCAAATCTTGGTTTTAAATAATTCCAATAATGAATTAATTTATTTCTAGAAATATATCTCGATTTCCACGAATCACTAAATAAATTATAAATATACAGTCGCTGTTTGACTGTATATAATTTATATATAAAATTTAATTTTTTGTTAAAAAACATTCTTTTAACTTTTGTTTTTCCAATAAATAAATTTATTTTTATTTAAATTTTTAGCTGCTTATTTGCAACAGCTTGACTCAACTAATTATTCAAATAAAAGGAAGATTCGTGCCACAACTCAACAACAGATAAATAGTATTAACGTAGATAATGTATTAGATTGGTGGGATAATATTGAATAAATGATATTAATTTTCTTATATATTTTATTTAAAAATGCTTTTATTAAAGAAATTAATTATTATTTTACATTATATTTACATTATATGACTCATTATACTCTGGATAGTTATTTTTTCAACTCTCGTTTAGGACTGTAATTAATCAAGGGACGGCTATTCCAACCCTTATTTCCACCCGTTCATTAAGAGTTATCAATGCCCAGCTTCATCTTCCCATCTTCGGTGCTATATTTTATAATTAGTATTTAAATAGCACATATAATAACCATATAGGTTATTTATAATAAGTAGATAAATAATAAGTTAGTGGTTTGCTCAATAGATAAAAAATCTTCGAAAGAAAACTAGGAGGTAATTAAACGAGGGAGGACAATTTACTAGTATAATTATATATCGAGTAAACGAAGTAATTAATCAAGTTCGTTAATCGCTTTTATTTCAAAAATTTTAACTTTAATAGGAATAAATTAATAAAAGTTATAGTATGTATTATTAATTTATTTAAATTTAGCCAAAAATATTTTAGTTTTTATATGTATATGTATTATATCCAATTTTAATATTTTCTTGTTTGTAGATTATATGTATGTATGTACCCATAATAGTTTTTATCCAGCAGGTTGTTGTCCATAAGGTACTCCATAATTTTGTTGGGGTGGTTGGCCGTATGGTTGTTGGCCGTATAGTTGGCCGTATGGTTGTGCTGCATTAGTTTGTAAATACTGTGGGTTGTTATTTGTGAAATACTGTGGGTTAGTATTTGGGAAAAACTGTGGGTTATTATTTGGGAATGGAAGATACCCATTATTTGGCATTGCATATTGTGTAGGCTGCTGGTAAATTTAGTAAAATTATTAATTTATTAATAACAACCTGGCCATAATACATTGATGGTGGTTGTTGTCCGTAGATTTGATTTGGTAAATTATTCGGTCCGTATTGACCAGGAGGATAAACTCCCATATTTTGCATAATATTTGGGTCTTGATATCCCCCTTGCTGTAATTTCACACCTGTATTTAGTCCAGTTGGGTCATATTGTGGCATACCTGCTGGCATGCCGTAAGTGCCATCGTTTTGCGGGTATCCTTGTGGTGCTACCATATTGTTACCATAATTTTGATATTGTCCACTTGGATCTTGTCCAATATTTATTTTGATAGCATTAAAGACAGTTAAAATAAATAAAATAAATAAAACGTCCATTAATTTGCTTTTCCCTAGAATATTTAAATTACCTATTATTTGTTATGATACGAATTTTTCATCAAAAATTTTTATTTTGAAATAAATCTCTAATTTATATATTTACATCTAAAATTATATGCATGCTCAATGCCCTATTATTTTTTAAATTTTCTGACTACTGGCTGGGGTTAGATTCTAGAGCGATACCCTCAATTTTATAACCCCGTTATTCTTAAATACGATTTAATCCCTAGGTGGGTAGATATTAGTTCGAGATCCGACAGTATAATTTTATTCTTAAATTTATTAAATAGCTTATGTGAATTAATAAAAAATTATGAAATAAAAACCCTTCAAGTTTTTGTGATGTGGAATTCAAAGTTTTTTTTTATTTTATTTATTAAACGATATTCATTTATGTATTGGAAATTGATAAATTATAGCCATTACTTAAATTTAATTTAAGCAAAAAAAGCTATGCAAACTTTAAAAAGATTTATTTACCTTTCTATAGAATCCAGTAAAATTAGAGAAGAATAATTATTTAAAATGATGAGTAAAGTTAAAGGGTTTATCTTAATTATAGAAATAATTGAAATGACTGCAGCGCATGAAGACAAATACTAAAAGACATTGAAACTAGCATTGTTGTTGCATCAATAAGAAGATGAGCGTTCGAAAGCTGATGAGTAAACACGATGAGGGGGTAAAATCTTAGTCTCGGTCTCGAGTCTTGTCATGGCAAAGTTTTGTTTTTGTAGAGTTTTCGACTTTGTATATTAATTTTTTGTTTTTAGAATGTAACTCTTATTCTGATGCTAATATACACATTTTTTTGTTAATTTTTAATAATTTCTTTATTGAAATTAAATTAATTATTTAAATTACGACAAATTTTTGTTATTATTTACAAAATTATTTTTAATATTTGTTATATGTATCTATTTTATTTTGCAACATCTTAAATAAATATTTAAGGAAGTACAATCTTTTATTTTTATATTTATTTACATATATTTATTTGGACATTTTATTTTCTTTTAATTTTAATATAAATACAAAATCTAGTTATTTTTACTAAATTATTTTTCTAAATAAAGATGATGATGCTGTCGATAAATAAAAGAAATTTAAGCATTTTTGTATATTTTATTTAACTTTATTTTTTAAATATAATTTTTAATAAAATGAATAAAATTTATTTTTATTTCTTTTTTTATTTGGGAATTATTTTTAAAATAAATAAAAATTGTGTTTTTTGCCAGTGGGGTGAAATGGGAAATAGTGATGAAGGTTTAATATTTTTTTTTGATAAATAACCTAATAATTTAAATATAAACAAATTATCTATGCTTTATTAAAAGGTTGGAATGATGGAGGAATGGAAGCAATACAGAATCAGGTCTTTCCAATAATTAATGCTGGTATTCAAGAATCAAATGTTAAAACTCAAGGAAGAAGAATTGGATTGGCTTATGGTTTTAAGTTCTTTTAATATGTAAAAACAAATTATTTAAAAAAAAGATGAATTAAATGCATTAACTATTTTAAAAAATGCAATGGAAAAACGTGCAGAAGCAAATCGAAGACTTAATGAACAATTACAATTTTCTAGTAAACAATTGGATGAAGCTAAAGAAGCTTTAAAAATTACACGAGAAAGAATTGATGGTACTTTTTTTCGAAAATGTATTTTTTATTTTTTTTGAAGGATTGGAAAGTAAATGTGAAATGTATGGACGTTTAAAAAAAATTTTAAAAGATAAATTAACTGAACTTGAGGTAAAAAAGTTAATTGTTTTTAATTTTATAAATTTATAAAGTATCTTATTGGTGATTCAACAACAAATAATATTATTGGACAAAAACAACAAATACAGCCACAACAAATGCAAAGAGATGAAAATCAAAATAATGTTTGGATGGTTAAATAAATATTTAAAATTAATTAAAATAAATTTTAAAAATAATTATTTTATTTTTTAAGGATGGCGAATTTATGAGGTACATAATAATATTTTAATATAAAAACTGGAAATATTTTTTAAGAAGATTACGAATAAATAGACAAGGTTTAAATGATGAAATGAATAATTTAAATAACAAAAATTCTGATAATTTATCTTCTCAATTAAATCCTCAAAAAACATTTTCGTGTAATACCAACAATATTGGGGAACAAAGAATTGGTATAGAAACAGAAATTGATCAGGCACAGAAACGTATTCAAATGCTTAAAGGAATGGAACACAAAATAAGTGTTTCGTTATTTTTGGCTAAATTACTTTAATTTTTTCTTTTAATTTTTTAATTAAACAAATTTTTTACTTCATTGTTTTTTATCATTTGGTTATAATAAATATTTTGTACAGAAGGGTAATTCTTCTCGTTATTATTTTTTTAATAATAATAAAAAAAATATTTTTCTACACAAACTTTTATCCATACTAATAAAATTTAAATTAAATTTAAATATTAATTAATAATTAAATTTAAATTATTTATTTCCTTTTATATTTAATTAAAATATTATTCCCTTTAATTTAAAAAAAATAAAAGAAAGCAGATCTTTTGATTATCCATTCAATAAAGAAGAGAATTAAACCTGTTTTGTTTTTAGTATTTGTAAATAAATAGATTTAGTTGAATGAATAATTAATATATATTTTTATTTATTTAAGTTAGGTATACTTTTTAAATGTAAAAATAAAAAAATAATTTTTAAAATTAAAAAATATTCTTTTAATTAAATATTAATTATTTTAATTTTTTTAAAGATTATTTAAAACTTTCCAAAATTCGCCTCCAAAATAGTCTAGTAATTATTCTGCCCTTCTTCCTTATTCATTTAAAATTTTTTTCTTTCATTGATCAAAAAATATTTTTTTCATGTCAATTAAAATAAAAATTAATTTTACAATAAGAACTTAAAATAATTAAATAAACAATAGGAAATACACATTTAAAAATAAAAAAATAAATCAGAAATGGTTTCAGCAATTGAAAAGCAAAAAAATTTTGTTTTTAATATTCTTTTCTTTCTAAATAAATAAAAATATTTCTTTTTATTTTATTAATTTTTGCGCAAGCTAACACGTAATTTTTCTAGTTATAATAAAAATAAATAAATATTTTTTTGCAACAAAGAAATAAAAAATAATTCTTTTTTTTGAACAAATGAATTAATTAATTTATTTTTTAATATTTAGACAACAAAACTTAAAAAAAGAATGTTTTTGGTTAATATTAAATTCTTTATTTTATTTTATGTAATTTTGCAATTCGAGAAAATTTGTGAGTAAGGGACTTTAATTAATTTAAAATATTCTTCTTCTCTCTAATATTTTTTTAATTTCCTTAAATTGTTTTTCTTTATTTAAAAATTTAAATCTACTTTCTCCCTTTATCGAACACTAAGAAAAGTGCAACAAATAAATAAAAACTTTTTTCTACTAAGGAAATTTGTTAAAAAAATTTGTATATTTATATTTTATATACCGTAAATGCTAAAATAATGTCCCTCTCTCAAATAATCACCCCCACCCTATTAATTACCGCCTAAAGTCAGGGATCGAAAAAAATAATTACCCCTCTTAAAAATAGTTATAATTAGCCTTTTTAAAAAAGTTCAAATAATTACCCCCTCCCTTTTAATTACCCCCTCCATCGAGAGGTTGAAACAATAATTACCCTGGTAATTAATTTAGCAAATACACAAACTTAATTTAAAAAATAAATTTATTTTAAATATTTCTTTTTGGAATTTTTTTCTGATTTTTATTTTAATTTATTTTAAAAATTATTTTTATAAATAAAAATTCAAGTTTCTGCTGTACCCGGACAAGTAGTAATTAAACGTTTTTCAAAAGACCAATGTAAATTTAATCCTTGTTTAAATGGTGGAAAGTGTGTAGCTGGAAAGACAGCTTGTGATTGTCCTTCTGGATGGATGGGGAAATATTGTCATAGTTAAATATATTCTTTAAATTATTATTATTTTTAAATTAAAAATAAAAGGACGTTGTAGAAATATTTATCAAAGTTGTGACAGATGGGCAATGGAAGAAAAATGTGAACTTGTTAGAACACAAGTATTTTCTGTATTTTAAATTTAAAAAAATTATTTTTTTAGACAAATTTTTTTGATATAAATTGTGCTGTTTCTTGTAATTTATGTATTCCTGATCCAGCTATTAGTATTTAAATTAATTTTTTTAAATTTAAATTAATTAAAGAATTAACACCAATTCCTTTACCCCCAGCATTAGAACCAATTCAATTTATGATGGGTAAATGGTACTCTCAAGTAATTTTCAAAATAAATTTTAAGGGAAAATATTTGTATTTATTTTAGGCTACAAAAGGTTTAAGATTTCCAACAGACATGTTAGCTAGTGAATATGAAGAATTATTAGATATTTCTCCTACACAAGTATTTATAAAAATTAAAATTTATATTTATTTATTATTTTTTTATGTTCCAATGTTTGGACCTCCTTCAATGAATTTAACGTTAATAATAATAATTATAATTTATTAAAATTATTTAATTTTATAGGAGTATTTGTTGGAACAAAAATGGTAAAATAAATTTATACATATTTTTAAATTTAAAGAAGAAGTTTGCTGAATCCATACCCAGTGTAGAGCCCAGGATAATAGAATATGAGGGAATACTAATTAATTAATGTTGTTAGTAGTCCGGCCGGACAATATTCACCGCTCACTCCTCAAGAGCGATTAAACGGGCGACGACTAATTCCTCCGATCGGGCAATAAATATATTAGCGCTTATTCACTTTATTAATTGACTGACTAATAAGCTGACTGATTGAATGACTGATCTCTTCCTTCACTTATTCCTAGGATTATATTGGTTATGGATAGGCGGGGTCGCTGGGAAAGTTTTGTTTAATATTTCTCAATCCTATTTCCGCCTTACATCTCCAACCCCGGGGAAGACCGTCCCTGGTCTTTTACCTGACCCTTCCAATCCTTGAGTGTACAAGTTTGTAAGTGTCCATTTCCTCGCCAATTTCATTCTCTGTTTTATCTTTATTTTTGACCGAGGTCAACTAATTTTTACACACGTTTATTTATATTTGACCGAAGTCACTTTTTATTTTTAATTTAAATTAAATCTCTACCTCTTCTGCTTTGCCCGCCTCGCATTTTCTTCAAACACGTCTGCATTCGCGCGCTGTGTCCTTTGCCACCACATTGATAACACCTCACAGCTCTTGGTGGTCCACGTTTATCTGTTCGCCTTTCTTCTGCACGTTATTCTGGTTGTTGCACACTTGGTCCATCCAATTTGAGTCTCAATCTATCGGATTGCACAGAACGTCCCTGCAAGTCCTTTAAAACCCCGCCAAAGCCTCAATAAAGTCTGAAATTGCTCAAGTGCCTTTTGTTAGTGTGCGTGCGGGGACAAGGATAACTATGCATTGTTCATGTCCTTCAATTTTAAGTTTAAGCCTATTCGATTGCACTCCATATACACATTAAAGCTGTTCACTTTCTCTCTCATCCATGCGGTCGATCGTCCCTGATCGTCACAGAATCGCTTTAAAAAAATTCTGTTTGTGGCTACACACTTACAATACACTTGTCTACCGTATCCAAGCAGGATTATCAAAGCTCAATAGGTCGCCTCCATTTAAGACGTTTCTTCTCTTCTCCAATTACAATTAAGGCTGCTTCAATAAGGTCCCCAACTGAGTTTATTTTTTCTAAAGTATGGCGTTTGGTTATTCTACAAATTCTTGGAATAGTTGAGACTGCTGAAAAGCGCCATTCACCCTCATACGCACGTGCTGATCTAGCTATTTTCGAGTTTGACTTTGCTAATACTTCGGTTCCTAATCGGAAATGACATCCCGGAGGTAAAATATAGTTCGGACCAATTAACCATCCTTCTTCAATTGGTGCTAATGCTATGTCAATAAACATGCCTTTCTTTAATTTGTCCCACTCAACTCGCATACACTGACGTTTATAAAGGACCGAAGTCCGCTCCATTCCAAACGCAATAACTCGAATTGAACCCGTCTTTCTATCTTTTCCCCTTCTCTTAGTTTCTACAACAAACCCTGTTTTCAATCTAAACTCCTGTATTGCAACCATTTCTATTTCAGTCGCCGTAGCTTGCCAATTAATATTGCCTTGATAGAACCATGTATTTTCATTCAATGTTTGGAATTTGTCAGTACGAAGCTGGAATTTAGTAATATAAATGTCATCTCCGACACACGCATCTTTCGCGCCTTCATTGTTCATTTCGACTAGAGCACTCCAAGGAATTTCCATGAATAGAGGCCACCCATCTTCTTTGTTCGGGGATGTAGACACTGCAATAAGTCTGGCTTCTTGAAGTTGGGATATAACATAATGTTTTCCTTTACTTTTTACTTCTGTAAACTTATCTTTATTTTGAGCCGAGACTCCACTAAGCCCACTAGTTCCGACGGCTTGTGATTCATTTTCTTCTCTCCACGAATTACATGCTTCCTCCCATTTATCCAGAGCTTCTTTCAGTATTTCTTCATCTTCCGTATTTTCATTTTCGGCCTCCAGTACAAAATTCTCCAAACTTTCAGTAATTTTCTGTGGATCAATGACATTCACAACTTCCAAAAGTTTTTCTTCATTTTTGTTGATTGATGCATTATCTGAAATGATAAGATTTTTAAAAGAGATTCTTCTCTCTTTTTCACTTTTTAAATGGACCGAAGTCCCTTTGTTTTTCTCGCTCTCACACAAATTATTTTGGACCGAAGTCCCTAATGAAGCTGTTGACGAGGATCCCATTCCTTGCATTGCTGCTTCAAATAATTTAGTTTTGTTTGCTTTTATTTTAAGATTTTTAGACATTTTTTAAAAAAAAATTTTTTTTTTTTATTTTAATTAAAATTTGAAAATTTATGAGTTAAAATTAGACTCGCTTCGAAAAAAAATTAAATGTGAGAGTAAAATGGGTACAATATGGGAAAATGATTTTGAAAAAGATTTTTAAAAATAATTAGAATTATATTTAAGAGAGTGAGTTTATTCTATTGAGAGCCTTCTGGTTTTGGGATTCCTACGGAGGTTGTATCTTTTCTTATTGGGTTCCCTACTATTATTCTCTTCAGCACAATTCTCATCTACTGGAGTGGTTGTAATTGGTTCCTGACTGTTCGCGTCATTAATTGCTTTTTCCTCTTCCTGGGTTAATTCTGGGACTGTTACTATCGGTGGTAGATCTTCAAAGCACTTCTTTAACTGGTTTATATGAACAACTTTAGGTATTGCACTTGGAGCATTACAACTAACTATCGTTACGTAAATTCCATCTATTTTTACAACTCTGAATACACCTTTCCAGGGCATGTGAAATTTCTTTGAGGTACCTATTTTGCCACCATAATTCCTCAATAATACTCTGTCACCTACAGTTACTGTTGGATTTCTTGTCAATTTGTCGTACTGGGCTTTTGACTTTAATTGGGCTTCCTTATTTGCTTCGTCCGCGGCTTCCCATGCTTTCCTCAATGAGATTACTAGTTTTTGCTTGAATTCAGATAAATCAGTTAAGGCTATTGGGTCGTGAACTCTGGGATCTAGAATTTGGTCTACACAGAAAATTGGATCCCTACCGAACATTAAAAAGAAAGGTGTTTCTCCTGTTGAAGCATGAATTGATGTGTTATAGCAAAAGCTGGCTATGTCTACAAATTCATCAAAATCGGGCTGTTCCTTATTTATATACTTGGCAAGAATGTTATGGAATGTTCTAAAAGAGCGTTCAGTGACTGCATTGCCTTGGGACCAGTGTGGAATTGCATAGCTCTTATTTATATACAACATAGAGCAGAAGTTTCTGAAAAATTCGCTAGTGAATGCCGTGGCATTATCTGTAATCAGTTCAATACATCCGCCAAATCTTAGATAGCAATTTGTGAGGAAAGCCTTTGCTAACGTTAATGCTTTTGCGTCAGGGACAGGCACTGAAATTACATATTTCGTGAACCAACAAATAATGTTCATTATATATTTGTTTCCATTTTGTGTCATCGGAAAGGGACCCGCTAAGTCAATTCCTACTTTAGCAAAGAGTGTACTTGGAGGAGCCATCTGCATTTCAGCTCTGTAAGGAGGATTTGGAGAGTGCCGAAGCTGACAGGTTATACAGTTACGCGTCCAGGTGAGTATATCAGCGTGCATTCTATGCCAAAAATATTTTCTGCATTTCTTTAATGTCTTTTTCATACTCATGTGTCCTCCGCCCAGGTGCGAGGAGTGAAAGGATTCAAAGATTAATGCTCTAAGGGAGACTGGTACAAATATTCTGGGATACAAGTTCGGTAATTTATGGCAAAGTATGTCCCCTATTATTTGAAGATTTTCTGCTGATACTACAAATTTTTCTATTTCATTCTGCGGAATTTCTTCTGGAATTTCTCCAGTCTTTAAAAATTTAATGAGGGCCGAAGCCTCAGGGTCTTCACTTTGTTCATGCCTAATATCAATTGTATAATTTTGTCCATCCTCTTTTCTTAAAGTAAAGGCTGCTATAGACTCATCCACAACTAATTGCGACTTGGTTCTTAAGGCTAGACACACAGGAAACTCAGCAATGTCTTCAAGCTCTTCGAGATTTTCTACTTCCTTGGGGTCATTTGTCATAAATGCCCTTGATAACGCATCTGCTAAGAGGTTTTCTTTTCCAGACACATGCACAATTTTTATATTATAATTCTGAAGTTCAATGAGCCAGCGTGCTAAATTTGGGTGAGCCTGCGCCTTTTCAAGAAGATACGCCAAAGGCTTATGGTCAGTGTGAAGCTCGACCTCTGCCATATAAATAAAAGGTTTGAATTGCCTAAGTGCATAGATTATCGCACCTAGCTCTATATGTACAGGTGGCCACTTCCTTTCTGCAGTGGTTAATGTTCTACTACAATATGCTATTGCTTGAAACAGATTATTTTCATTCTTTTGCATTAGTGCCCCTCCCTGACCTACTAGAGAAGCATCAGTGAATATGTGAAACGGCTTACTATAATCTGGAAAGGTAAGGACTGGTTCATTCGTCAATATTTCTTTTATTTTATCAAACGCTTTTTGTTGCTCGTCTTCCCACTTAAAGCAGTTTTCTTTACGAGTTAGCCTGGTCAATGGTTCTGCTATCATTGAAAAATTTTGAATATGCTTTCTGAAAAATGAGGCCATTCCTACTACTCGCCTGACTTCTTTGACACTAGTGGGTGCTGCTAAGTTCTTTATTATTTCCACTTTGCTTAGGCTTGGTGTGTAGCCTGAGGAATTAATTATATGCCCTAAGAAGTGCATTTTTGTTGATCCCAATACACATTTCTTGGGACTGACTTTTAATGAAAATTTTCTTAATCGCTCAAATACTTGTTTTAAGGCATCGAGATGCACGTCAAAGTCATTTGGTTTTGTAAATACAAGAAAGTCATCTACATAAGTTAACACACAATCTTCTAATCCACTGATTACATGCGCCATTACTCTAGCGAACGCACTAGTTGCATTTCTTAAACCGAAAGGCATATGGGTCATTTGGTACACTTCGTCTTCTGTAATTACACCACATTTCCTAGAAGCTCTTTCAGTTAATCTTATCTGAAGATATCCACTTGAGAGATCAAGAGATGAATAAAAGTGACAACCTCCTACTTTTTCCATAATTGTTTCCAACCTAGGTAGGGGAAAATGGTCCGGTACTGTAACTTCATTTAATTTTCTAAAGTCTATACAAGGCCTAAGCCCACCATCTTTTTTCTGCACTAATACTATATTTGAGACCCACGGAGTGTCAGATTTTACCATCACTCCTGATTTTAAGAGCTTGGTAATATTTTCTTGCAGTTCGCTTTGAAATTTAAATGGGACTCTATGAGGTTTGGAAGCAATGGGAGTTTCCGTTGTGGTTAGAATGTCATGTTCTCCTACTATACAAGAACCTAAATCATACTGACTTTTGCTGAAGACATCTGAGAATTCTTCACATAGTTTTTGGAGTTTGATTAAATCATTTCCTTGGACCGAGCTTTTGGAAAAATCTATTTTGAATGTATTATCTCTTTCTAAGTTATTTACTTTGTAAGCATCTATTTCACTTTTATCTTGATATTGGGTTAGCCAAGGACCTTCACCGCTTTCTATACACTCATCTGCAAATGCTATGTGCATTCCATTAAAAATATGCTTTGGGGCATTTGTGGGATTGGCCAACAAAACACATACAGAATTGTCCTTTGGTTCCACAACTGTCGGAATTAATCCAATGTTTTCACCTACTAGACGATTTTCTAGAGCATGAATTAATGCATTGCTTATTTTATTCATAGACATTAATTTTCCTTTGACAATTTTGTGTGACCCAGGGAGAATAGTTGTGGCTTCTATTGCATAAATTTTCGCATTTTCTATTAAAGGTTGATTATTTATGCCGAGGCATACTGCGGAATTACCAAACCACGCTTTGTCATTCTTAAAGTCAAAAGTGACAGGTGGTAGTTTACCCAAAAGATCACACCCAATTATCATTTGATAATTTCTTTTGTTGTTTAATTGTTTATCTTCTACTAAATTAACATCGACTGTATGCTTTAGCCCAGCTACTTCTAAACAACATTTCATTTGTGCCTTGACTAAAATTTCATGACCCGAGGCTGAAGTGATTGCTAAACAAGTAGGGGTAAGTCCTATATTTAATTCTCTTGCAAGCGAGATAGGAGCTATGGATATACTTGCCCCAGTGTCGATAAGACAGTTCACAGGTTTATTATTGACTGATACCCTAGTAATTGCTGTATTTGGAGAGGTAGCGTTAATATTTAATTTATTTTTGGCCGAGGCCGCATTTTCACTTGAGGTGGATAGAACATTTATTTCTATTGGAGGTATTTGTGATACTTGAGGAATCCAGTTGCTTTGCTTACGTACACTCCTTTTCCTTTGTTTTATCATGGACATTCTTTTTAGTGGTACCGATTTTAATTTCCTAGGTGTCCTTACTACACTTTCTTGCCTTGTTGTTCTCACTTTAAATGGCTGTGGTATTTCTAATAAACTACCTATATAGTTTTTTGATACAATTAAGGCCACTCTTATCACTAAATCAATTATTAAGACTACAACTAGACATGTTATGACAATTTTCCAAATTCCCATATAATCTCCAAAAACTTCTTTTGTAATTTTATCCCCCGCTTCTTTCCACTGGTCCGATAATGTTTTAGTAATGACTGTGTCTTTTTCACTAAGTGTGTAAGTTAATTCGCTTACTTTAGCCATATTTGTCATAAATGTGTGAGTATTTATGTCAGTTAAATTAACAAGTACTAGTTCATGAAAGGAATGGGATTTGAGATTTGGAACCTGAAAATATCTTACTTCATTTTTCCTTATGCCTCTGGGCTTTACAGTTTCTATTTCTCCAGTCTGCTGGTTTATTTCTAAAGCATTATTATTCACTTCAACTATTATTTTTCTAAACTGGGAACAAGGGGCTTTCCTAGCAGTTGGTTGAATAATCATTGTATTTGGGTCAAGAAATGCCATAATATCCTTTGAACCTGTTTTGACCTGAATCGGGACTAAATCAAAACATTCATCCATTTTCGTGTTAACAAAACTAAACTCATTTTCTTTTAATTTTATACAAGGCCAGACACTAAGTAAGGAGACCCCTTCTCGTTTTGCTACTAAATATTCATTATTGAAGACCATTCTTGCTAGGCCTGTAGGGTTTGATAAGTACGCTGCTACTGCTAACTTCTTTACTGTTTCCATGTGATCGCAGACTGCTTTTAGTGAATGAGCAAACGCGAAGGTCATAGTTTCTGCCCATTCTTTGTCTAAAAAGGTAAGTCTAGCTGCTAGCTCAGGTGCTGTTGCTAAGCCGAGGCTTTCTGCATTTTTACTACGTTTTGAGCGTTCAAGATGAGTTTCAGTTGCGAAACCTTGCTCAGAAATTTCTAAGTCCTTACCACAGTCTTGTCTTTTTGCTAATGGCTTTCCAAAATGTAAGGCTATTTGGGCGTCGTCAGATAACCATGTGTTGTCTAAAAATTTTCCTGTCCAACGACCTATTGGGACATATCGGCAAAAACTATTTTTGTTTATGGTCCATTCAAGAAACGTTTTGTCCTCTAATACACAGTGACCTTTATCATAAGAACAATTATGGGTGCCCCCTAAGGGTGTCCTTATATTCCTTTCACCCCAGTGAGAGTACACTTGTGTTTCAAATAAAATACAATTTTCAGATTGGACCTGAGTCCACGTAAATGATCCTATAAACCACATTTTTGGACTAATGTCAATTTTATTTCCAGTTGTAAAGACTTCATTTTCTTCCTTAAGTGACCCTAAACTGCACTTCTTTTCCTTTATCATCTTATTACACTCTTCTCTTGACACCTCTAACATTTCTGAAGATACTGGCTCAGTTATTGGGACATTAGTAATAGAAGTATATTTCTTAACTATCTTGCGTATTTTTCTACAGGCCCACGCGTCAGTCGCATATTCTAAGTCGTTAAGCATATAAACAGTTCTTGTTTGTGAAATAGGCGCGTGCGAAATGTTTGGTGTGAGCTTGGGACATTCAGATAGTTCAGGTAGGGACCATAAAAGACCTTGTTTCTCCATTTGGCAAATCATTGGCCATTGTGGTTTCGGTAAGTTTTCAAACCCTAAGACCGGAACTACCATTGCTAAAAGCATTAAAATTGTGAGTGGTAATAATTTTGGGCCTAAGCTCCTTCTGCCTTCCCAAGATAAGATTGCATTTTGTTTTGACTCTTTTTCATTTCTAGGACTTTCTTTAACCTTTTCAGATTTTTGGACTAACTCTAGATTTTGAACTGAAGGAATGTTTGAATTTTCACCCACCTTCATCTTTCTGATCGCATTTAAAATTTCTGATAGCATAGAATCATTTTGAATTTGGCCTGACCTGCTTTGAGATTGGCTTGTTCCTTGGCCTTCATATTGTCTGAAGTTAAAGCGTTCAAGTCGTTCACGGCAGTTGCTTGCAAAGTGGCCTACACGAGAGCAATAATTGCACACAGGTCTGTTGTTCCATCGGCGATCATTCGAGGGATTGCGGTTAAAGTTGTACATTCTTTGATTTGGCCTAGACCAGCTTCTTTGTTGATTGAATTGTCGATTCTGAAAATTCCGATCATTAGTTCTATCTTGGTTAAACCTCCAACCTTCACGAGGTTGTACTCTATTCGAATTAATTGGATTTAAAGTTTTGAAACGTCCCGAAGGACCCTGAGAACCTACGTACTGATTCACTTCCTGTATTTCGTTGACACTTGCTGTTGGGAATAACGGGTTACTCCTGCCTGGGATCATAATTTCCACTTCCCTAGCATCCATACAAAGTTGTTCAAATCCACGGTTGTTCTGAGTAAAGTTGAGGAGTTTCATGCAGAAAGCAATGTTAGGGAGAAGCCTTTCCAGTAAAAGATCACATAGATAACGTTCACGATGAGTACCAGCCATGTCTACTGCTGTTGCCAACGCTAGAGGTCTGAATCTTGTCAAAAATTCCTTGACTGTTTCATTTTCCTGCTGTTTACAAATTAAAAGTGCCTGTCGTGAGAGTGACCTACGCTGAGGAGAGTCGAGCTCTTCTCTTATACTTTTTAGTGCCTGTTCACAAGTGGTTCGCTTTGCGGGACTTAATTCCTCAAATATTTGTTTGGGTGTATCGTCCAAAAATATAGAGAGGCGGTTGAGCTTTTCTTCTTCAGAAAGCCTTGCCCCATACACTTTGATTCTTTCCATGAATTTCTTACTCCACTTATCTAGTGCTACTATGTTATCATCTGAAAATACCTCTAGGGAAGGAATGCCCTCGTTACTTAACATATTTAGTGTATGGTCATCCCCTTGTTCATCATCATCGATATGAAGATTATTATTAGCCGAAGCTTCTATAGCTGAGGAAAAGCTAATTTGAGGCTGCTCAAAAATTTTCTCATTTAAATTAACTTTGGGAGTTGACTTATTTTTGGGAGAGCACCTTATAGGCGAAAGTGATTTAGAGTGTGTGCGTTCAGTGCCAACCCCATTTAGTCGAGTAACACAATCATCTATCTGAGACCCTAGTGTTGCAAAACCTACATTAACTTCATTTGCTAGATTCGTTAAATTGTTGGCGTTAAGGTTTATTTTCCGGTTTATAGCTCTTAATGAACGATTAATACCTTCTTCAAGTCTGACTGTGTCCCCATGGACTTTTTCCAAGTCCGTAAAACGTGCCTGGTTTGTACCCACCTTTCCAGCTAAAAGCATTTTGTCAACTACAGCAATGGTCAATTCTTCATTTCCAACATTAATTTGTGCCGAGGCACTCGATGTCGTGACGTCCTTAGTGGACAGTCCACTGTTTGAACACATATAATTAAGCAGCTTTAATTTATTTAATTTCTAAAAAAATAGAATTAAAAAAAATTTTAATAAATGAATGGGAGATATGAATGACTAGGCTAACACTTAATGAAATTTATTAATGGACGTTTTTGTTTATCATCAGTTCCTTTCACATGAATTACACAAAACACTTTTAATTTTCATTAAAGCTTTGATTAACAATGATTGCTTTTAAATTTGCTAGTTTCTCACCTTCCTGATTTCTAATCTTTTGCAAGCTTTTTCCCTTTCTTTAAACTACTTTTCCCTTCCTTTAGGCTTCTTGAGAAACTTTTATTTTAAATTAATAATTTTCCTTTATATTACACCAATAAAAGCTTTCTTTACACTTTTGCCTTTTTTTTTAATCAAAAAAAAACTTCCTCCAATGTAGACTTTACCCTTTCTTTAAACAATCACAAAGTTTTCTTTAAGGTAAACTTTGCCCCTTCACTGGCAATCTTAAACCACTTTGGAAATTCTACTTCGTAATTTTTCTGACAGTACTCTTCATCTCAGACTCTGAAGGCTCTCAAAATAAACTGATACGGATAGACAATTAACAAGAGGAAATAAATAGTTGATACCATTAAGTAAATTTTGGAAAACAATAAAAATAGTAAAGGCACATTATTAGGGAAAATATATTGGGATAAGTAAAAAAAAATTTGAATTTAGAATTAAATGTATAAAGTGAAGCGAATCATAAGAAGCGAAAATAAAATTAAGAAAAACGAAACATATAACGCGAAAGTCCAAAAACGCGAAAATCCACGAAAGGCGAAACGCGAAACTGGCACACCCCAGGTATATATTAAATTATAATTTGGAGAATACAGTTCGACAAATTGAATATTTTTACCCTGTTTGGCATCTTTAAAAGGGACGTTTTGGACTCAGACCTAATGGGATTTTTCTGAACAGTGACATTTTGGGGTTGATACATTTTCAAGAAAAGGACTTCAAAGCGCCACACATTTAAATACATGCAATTGGAATGTAACTATAAAAGGACATACATTGAAAAACGCGAGGAATAAGGGAATATAGAAAACATTTTGCGCCTTTAAAGTCTAAAAATACAGCATAAATCTAAATAGATTTTTTTTAAACATGGGAGTAAAATTTTGTAATTAATGTCTTGGACCATGGTCCCTGCTACTACATAAGTAATAAGAATACAATTGCTAACCAATCTGACACCAGAGGTTTTTTTTTTGAAAGGCAAATGGCTAAGGAGACTTCATTAAACAAGAAAGTGTAATTAATTTTAGCTCCGTAAAGTTCCAGCTAGTCTTGATCAAAACTGCACCGATTCTACTTCGTGTACCCTAAAAATTTTAGTTTGTACTGCTCTGTTCTAATAATAGAAATCGAATATTCTAGAGCTAAATGTTTTGATCATTTTATACATTTTTCTCTTTTTCCCCTTCTTTTTTTTTTAAATCTTCCCAAAAGAATTACACTTTCTTGGATAGGTTACACTTTCTAGAAAAATAGAGAAATTCACGTGAATGAAAAAAATGGTTAGAAAAGAAAACTTGGTTTGGCTGAAAATCATGTGTTCGGGAATAAAATATCTAAGGCTTTTGGTTTTAACTCATAGAAATTTTTCGGTCTTGGATACCTCTATCAAAGACTGTCTGAACAGGAAATGTGAGTACTTTAACAAAAGTTCTTTTATAGGACCTTGGTCCCGGATTTTGTGGAAAGTGTGCATTTAATTAGTACAAGTGTTAACCACTCGAAGAAAGGGTGTATAAATAATTCACAATCTCATATGTTACGGTATATTTTTGTCTGGGTGGGTCTTCTTGGCGCACGACTCTAATAGGAACATAGCCGACACTAAATTCATCGCAATTTTCTCCAGAGGAATTTTTGACTTGTTATAATACGAAATTTTATTTTACTATTTGAGTTTTTTTTGGTTTTTGCTTGCGCCCAACTGTTCATAGATACGTTAGAGATACTACCCCACACAAAAGGAAAGGAGAGGAGAAAAATTCTTTTAGCACCTGGAAAACCCAAAAAGATATGTCTAATTTATACACCCATTTTTCTTTTAAAATTAAACTTATAGTGCCATATTCTTCCGCCTCATCCACATCTTCCACAATTCCACCATGAGTTTGATCATAAAACTAAATTTCATTTGTCGTTCCGTTGTATATATTGCAGAATTCAAGATAATTATTAAAAAAAAATTGGAGAGTGGAAATATGTGGGACAATTTGATAAAACAAGAGAAAAAATATATATTTTTTTTTTAGTATAAATGTGTGAGATTTAAACATATATAACTATATGAATTTATGATTGTCTAAATAGGTTTTTTTTGGGAGTAAAATTATGTACTTATTGTCTTGGACCACGGTCCCTATTTTCGGAGGTAGAATAACTTAATGAATTGTTTGGCATTATTTGACGAGGGAAATAAAAGGTAAAAAGGGAAAGAAAAAGGAAAACAAATGTTTGGAAATTTTTGACTAACTAGAAGTTATGTGATATTTTTACTTTAAACTTTTTGATTTAATAAAAAAAAGAAATTTTTTGATTTAATGAAGAAAAAGGAGAAAAACAAATTTAATATACAAATACCAAGCAAAGTTGATTAATTAAAGAGAATATAAAATCTAAGGTTTTTTAAAAAAATTTTAATTACATTTAAGAGTGACGGAAAATGTACAGAAATACGCTAATCGAAAAATTCATTCATTTAAGATCAGGGTTCCGATTCTTACTCCTTTTTTTTTATACAGTATGTACTTTTAAATCAGCATTTTGCTAAAAATTGACTTTAATCTTAAAATTCTCAAAATTTTCGCCTGCGGCAAAGAAAATGGTTTAATTTGAAGTGTACTTATTATTTGGAAATTTAGTCCCTACGTGCTTTTAAATCGAGTTTTGTCGATCGGAACCCTGATATAGACATTTACTAGTAGAGCAAAAAGGAAATAAGACATTAAATTTGAATGTACAAAAAAATTAATATGTGCCTAAGCACTCAAATATAAAATAACAAAACATAATTTTACACAAGCTGACTTTATAGAGAATAAAATAATTGTAAAGTAAAATTTTCTAAGGAAATGAAACCGTTGGAAGATAACCTTTGGTGTCTTTAGAAATGTTTCCTTTTTTAGATATTACATTTTTTGCGGGAAAAGGAGAAAAATTATTTTTTTTTAGTTTTTTTTGAAATGGAACAAAGGAAATTAATCATCCCCCTTTTTGGGCAGTCTTTCCGAAAAGAAGGGCCAGACGGTTTTTCATTTTGGTATTGAAAAGAAAAAAAAAATTTTTTTTTTAGCTCTTTCTTATGCATATACATACAATGAGTAATTATTCTTTTTTTTTTTAGCCGTTAAAAAAATAAAACATTTTTCCCAAGAGAAGGTTAAATGTGTACAAAAATGGAAAATGTGAAGTGAAACGAAATTCACGTGAATAATTTTTAGTCGTTGATATTTCCCCCTTTTTTGAATTTGTTTCTAAATATAAGTTTTTTTTTGGTTGGGTTTTTCGATTCGGTTCGTTTTCGAGTTTTCCGGGCTGGAAAACTCTAATTTCTTACTAACTTCTAGCTACCCCCTAATAAGAACTTAATGTAAATTTATTTATAAAAGTGTAAATTTATTTATTTAATGTAAATTTATTTATATTTAAACTTAGCATACGGCCGAGGCCTCCTCAATACTTGTCAGTCATTTTGCGGTCGTCTCATCCTCTATTCCATTTCCCTCCTCTCCATTCTCGGGATTCAAGCCGGGCCCAGCTTTCATCCCTTGAGTGGAGAGGGCGTTGTTGTTGTGGTGCCGAGGCTCACTCCACTGCTGCCAGGGATGGTCTGCCTTCTCCGAAGATCAGGCAAACCATCCGGTGCTACCAGAAGAAGTTTGCTGAATCCATACCCAGTGTAGAGCCCAGGATAATAGAATATGAGGGAATACTAATTAATTAATGTTGTTAGTAGTCCGGCCGGACAATATTCACCGCTCACTCCTCAAGAGCGATTAAACGGGCGACGACTAATTCCTCCGATCGGGCAATAAATATATTAGCGCTTATTCACTTTATTAATTGACTGACTAATAAGCTGACTGATTGAATGACTGATCTCTTCCTTCACTTATTCCTAGGATTATATTGGTTATGGATAGGCGGGGTCGCTGGGAAAGTTTTGTTTAATATTTCTCAATCCTATTTCCGCCTTACATTAATTTATTGAAGATATACGTATTACTCATGGATTTGTTACATTAAAGCCAAATTCTGTAAAAAAAATTTTTTAATTTAATTTAAAATAAAATTTATTTAGTATCCACCAGAAATAGCCATTTTAAGTACAGCTAATGAAGGACTTAATATGATTGAATTAGGGACTTTACAAAATCATGCTGTTACTCTAAATATTAGCTATATGTATGTAAATATATTTAAATTAACAAAAAAAGAATATTTTTTAATTTTAAAGGCAAGTTCACCCTTCATTAGACAACGATGTATTGCCTTTAGGGGTTTAAATACTTAAATTTAAGTTAAAATATTTTAATTTTTATTAAGGCAACTCGGCGTTTTAAGCGTTCAGGTCAATTACTTGAAATGACTGTAGCAAGGTTATTTCCAGGAAATCGAGTTTCTCAATTTAAAAAAATGTTTAAAAAAGTTAGAAATTATCCATTTTAAATTTTTAAATTGTTTGAGAATGTTAAAAATAAATAAATATATGTATATTATTTTTTAAATAAATAATTTCTGCGAGAATTTTTTATTAAAATAAATTTTGTTTTTGTATTATTTTAAATATTTCTAAGATTTTTATGAGTTTTTGTTGACTTTCTTTGAATAGTTTCCAACTTCAAATAAAATTTTGTGTTTTTCTCTGAGTCTGTCTTTAAAATGTTTATTTTTGTTGTGTTATAGACTTGTTTTTATTAATTAAGGAAGGAAGAGCATAGCGGCAAAATTCAAATAAAAATTTCTCAATAAAAGAAACTAGTGAATTAAGCATTGATTGCTCCTATGACAAGCTTATGAAATTGTTTATTTGCAAATATTTATTTTTTTTATTTTTAATATTTCAAAATTTATTTTTAATAAAAAATGTTTTTTAAATTAAATAATTTTTTATTTATTTATTTTTTATTAATTTATTCAAATATTTTTTGTGTAGAAAAGGATCTTGGTAAATATTTTAATTTAAAATTGAAAAAAATTCCTAATTTTTTAGATAAATTAGAGAATAATTTAATTTCTTTAAAAGGAGAAACAAAATTAGGAAAAAAAGAAAATCCTTTATTTTCAATTAATTATTGTTTGTCAATTGAAGAAATTTCAAAAATTGAAATTAAAGATTATGAATTTTGTTTTTTTGTGTTGATAGAGCTTTGTTTATGGGAAATTCCAGAAATTTTTGAAGACAATAATTTAACATTATTTTCCCCAAAAAATTTACTTGTTGATAATGGAGAAAATTTGGGAGGAATTTTGGCGAGAAAAATTTGGGGAAATTATAAAAATAAAAAAGAAAAATTTTTAAAACAAAATTTTAATAAAAAAATAGAAATTGTAGAAAATTCTAAAAGAAATGAAATGAAAGGGAAAAAAATAATAATTGATAATATTAAAAGAAAAGGTAAAATGAGTGAAGAAAATTTAAATAATAAATTACTGAAATTTGGAGAAATTGAGAAAGCTAATAAATTAAAATTTGAAAATATTTTAAAAGAAATTCAAAGTATTTTGGGAAAAATTAAAGAAAAAATTAAAAATGAAGGAAAACAATTAAATGAAGGTATGTAAGTAGTTATAAATATTATAGGGAAGAAGGGAAATTAATTTAATCAGTCGGGGATTTTAATCAAAAGATTGATTTTGGTGAACAGAAGAGCTAAATAACTTCCACAGGTTCGATGCCTGGCTGTAACTGAACTTCACTTTAAAATCCAAATTTTAATTTATTATTTTAGCATTACTTCAAAAAGATAAAATTTCAAAAAGCAGCGAAATATTTGCTGTTAAAATGTTTCAAAATATTTTAAAAACAGCCGGGTTTAAATTAGCGGTAAAAAAAGAAAGGGAAATGATTTCAACAAGGAAAAAATTAATAAAAGAATTAAATGACAAATACGAATTAATTCTTTTAATTACTATAGCAATAGATACAAAAATAAATCAAATTAAAAATAGTAGTGGTGAAGAAAATAATTATAAGGTTTTTCTTATTTTGTATTTTTTAAAAAATAATTTTAAAGAATATTTTGGAAGAAATTAAACATTTGAGTTATCGCCGTATAGCTTTAGACAATTCTATAAATGAAGGGATTATTTTAGCAAGAGCTTTGAAAAAATATTTTAAAAAAGAAAATAAACAAAATTTTGGATTAGTTTATTTTTCATTTTTTAAAGTAAAAAATGGGTTAATTCGTTTGGGTATTTTTGATGGAATTGATAAGGAAAGTGCAAAAAGTTTGGTTGAAAAGGATGTTAGTAAAACCAATGAAATTTATAAAATTTTGACTGGAAGAGAATTAATAATGGAAATAATAAATAAAGAAGAAAGGTTTTTTAATTAATAAAAATTATTGTTTAAAAATATATAAACATTTAATTTAAATTTTAGTTTAGCCCTAATAACTCTTAATAATAATTTAAACTATTTATTCCAATAAATTCCTGATTTTAATATTTTTTAATTTAAATAGCTCGGAAAATGTTGCAAGTTTTTTCGATAGTTCAATTCAACGTGATATTAATGTAACTTTAATAAGAATGATTGAATTATTGGCCCCTTTGTTTTTATATTATTATAAAATTATTGAAGACAAAAATATTTTAAATTATGGAAAAGAAATTAATTTTGAGGAAATTGAAAAATTTTTAAATGAAAATTTGGAAAAGTTAAAAATTAAAAAAGAAGAAAATTCTGAGAAAAAATTGGAAAGGTCTAAAACAGTCGTTTCTAGAAAAAAAGAGGAGAAAAAGCCGATAATTAATTGTTTAGCGAGAAAATCAAAAAGTTGTTCAGAAATTAATTTATCTAAGCAAACATTAAGTCAATTATTTAATTTGGATGATAGCAAAGAAAAAGAAAAAAATAAAGAAATATTAACTAATAATTTATTTTAGGTTTAAACTAAAAATTTATTTAAAAAAAATATTTTTTGTTGAAAACAAGTTAAGTTTAAATATTTTTTAAATAATAATTTTAAAATAGGAAAAGCATTCAGATATTAATAAAATGACAGCAAAATTTAAAAAATATATTTATTTTAAATTACCTTATAAAATTAGAAAAAATTAAAATTAATTACAAATTTTAATACAAAAAAAAGAGAGTTGATTATATATTATTTATTTATTTTATTATTAAAAAATATTTCACAAATTTATTTTTATTGAATACATATGTACAAAAAACAAACAAACAACAATTTAAACATTTACTCTTTGTTTTAATATTTCTGTTTCAATTTGTTGATTATTTGTTGTTGTTGTTGTTTGTTTTGTTAAATTTAAAATTCTTTTTAAATATTTCCAAAACTTCCTCATCATTATCCAAAAAAGAAAAACAAAAATTCCAAGCAAAATAATTGCTATAAGTTGACATAATACAAGACCTAATGCTAAATGACCTTTCTAATTAGTAAATAAATTTTGAATTTTAAAATTATTTTTTTAATTAATTACTTGAATAAATAGCCAAATAAAAAATCCTGCAGTTGCAGTTAAAGGTAAAATTACAAAACAACAAGTTTGGGTATCATAATTTAAACAAGTATCACATTCTGTAAATCCGTTTCCATTCCCTCCGTTACTTTGGTGATTTATTGATGGAAAACTATTTCGAAGTAATAAAAATGATGCAGACATTTTAATTAACTACCCTCCCTTCGAAATAATTATTCCCTCTAGCGAGAGGTTGAAACAATTATTACCTTCAAGTAAATATGTACGTGTATATTAAATAATTCGTAGAATCCTCTTTTAAAAAAATATTTTTTAAAAGAATAATTAAGTAAGTATATTAATCCTTTATTTAAAAAATAAGTTTATAAGAATCTCTAATGGTTTAAGGATTTGTGGAAAATTAATGGAGAAAAAGCCAGCTTTTTTAAAGGCGGCATTTTTTTGTTTTCTCGTTTTAAAGTGAGATTGCCATTGACGAACGCAAACAACCACTCATCGATTAACAATATGTATTATTTACTCCGAAAAATTTTCTTCAAAAAGAATATTCGTGAGAAAAAATAAGATGAATTACTATGTATGAAGTAGTCCCTCCAGAAATGTTAAACAAGAATAAAATTAAAAATATTTTGGAGTGTATCTGAATTAAATTGCCATATTTTGCCTCATAAAAATAAAGTTACTATATGAATAATAAAAGTTGTTCGGGTTATAATCATAAAAACCCTCATCGGTGCCAGTCTAGTTGGAATATACCAACCCGACTAGTCACTAATCTCTTTCGTCTGTTCCAACCTTCTTATAATTGTAATGAAGTGTTATTCAAGCAGTATGTATGAACTTACGTCGTTAAAGGTCGTCAATCAAAAATAATTAACTTATGATTCCTTAACTTATGATTTAGGGCATGTGAAGAGGAAGATAAAAAGTGCATTAGCGGCATTTAAATAAAAATAAAAAAAATTTATTTAAATGTTATTTTTTGATTGATTAATTTGCTATAATAACTTAAATATTTAATATATTATTTTATTTTATTTATTCATAAAATTAAAAAATAATTTATTAAAATTTTATTTTTATTAAAAATTTTAGTTTTAGTGTAAATATTTCCTAATTAAAAAAGTTGACAACACACAATCAATTTTATTTTTAAATTTAAAAAATCTTTATGTTTTTAAATATTTTTTTATTAATTATTTTACTTCCTTCAATTATTTATTGTGTATATATTCAATCAGAAATAACCGATTCAAATTTTAAAGGTGAAGGTCCATTAAAAGAACTTCATAATCGGGTCTCGGCTTTTATTTCTGAGAAATTTAATGTAAATATCAAAAAATTTCCCAATTTGTCCTTAAATATAGAGGAAAAAGGGAAAAATAAAATAAATAATAAAGAAAGTAAAATAAAAGAAATTAAAAGAAAAACGAAGGAAGATGAGGATGAAGGATTGAAAAATAGGAAAAGAAAAACAAATTTAATAAATTCTTTATTAATGCCAGAAAAAGCTATAATGAACAAGTAATTTTTTGATAAAGTTTTTTAAAAATATTAACTGTTCATAAAATAATTTGACATTTATTTAATTTAAAAAAAAATTAAACTTTTTTTAGAAAAGAATGGGAACAAATGTTAAAAGAAGATCCCATTCTTGCTGATTGCCTCTTCAAAATGGATATTGAAAAACAAATTAACAATATATATTACCAAATACGTTGGTTACTTGAATCTAGAAGGTTTATTTCAACAGCAAGTTCTGATGATTATATTAAATTAAAAGATGTAACTAAAGATTTAAACGAACTTCAATTAGATAATAAACATTTAATTTATTTAAAAAAAGTTTATAAAAGACTTGAAAAAAATTTTAAAAAATTACAAAAATCGGTAGAAAAAGAGGAGGAAGAATTAAAAGAAAATGAAAGAATAAATAATGATTATGTAAGCAGTGGAAGTGATCAGGAAATTAAAGAATTAAATGAAAGTAATTTTTAAATAAAGATTAAATTTTTTGAGAAAGATATAAAAAAATATAAATTTAATTTTATTATAAATAAATTTATATTTTTTATTTATTTTTCTAGAAAAAAGAAAGGGAAAAATGAAAGAAGAGGATTATAATACAATAAAAATAGAACAAAGTAAAGCAAATGAAATAATAGGTTAAATATTTTTATTTCTAAAAAGAAGATTTTATATTGTTTTAAAATTAACTAATTATTAAGACGCGCTAGCTTATAGTACAGATAAAGTACATATACACTTAAAAGACTAGTTTATATACCTATTGAGAAAAGCTATTCAAACTTAAAGGGGAGTATATTCCTACACAATTTAATAAAATTCCAACGCGTGCCATAAACCACTAATTTTCACTAAATATTTCAGAAAATGAACCTTTTGTTCCAACACAAATTCATTTAAATTTAATATCAGAATTATTAAATTTCCGCAAAGAATTAAATGAATTCACAGTAAAAACAAAAATTGAGTTGTGGACAAGGCAAAGTTTTGAATCTTTTGAATTATTGGGAAAAGAAATAGAAGAAAATAGTGAATTTTTAATGGTCTTAAAAAATACTCCTATTGAAAAAATTGGGTATAGATCAAATATTTATCAAAATATTGATAGTAAAATTAAAGAAAATAATTTAAAAAATAAAATACAAAACGAAGAAGCTTCTTTGGATATAGTATCTAATGAACTGAAAAATATTGCTGAAGTAGATGAAGATATTCAGAGATATCTAAATGTATATTATTTAAATATTTAAAAAAAGCTCAATTGGTGAAAAATTCATTGGATGGGAGATGGAATAAAGCCATCGTGTAGTGAAATCAAAACAGAGCACAACAGACTGTGCCACTATCCAACCCGTTGAGTAATCGGGTTTTCAGATTTCCAATAAGCTAGAATTCCTCCTTTTTAGTCCCTTAAACTAATTTTTTAACTTCAACATTTAAATAATTAAAACAAGGAAAGGAGCAGGTCCTGGTATTTTAAATAATATTTACAATTAACTAAAAATAAATTTAATTCTCATTATATATTTTTTTAATTTTTTAATCATAAAACAGAATTACCAAGAAATACGTAATTTTGATCTATTAAATAATATGTCCAAATTTTTATTCAAAAAATTAGATGAAACTTTTCGTTCAGAAAATGATGATGTTTTTGATATAAATATGGGAATTATTTGGCTTTTATCTAGAAGATTAATTGAAGAACAACTCTACAAAATTTTTCGTAAAAATCAAAGTTTTAGAGCATTTATGCAAAAAGAATTAGAAGTGGATGTAGGAGAACATAAACTAATGATTCAAAAAATAAATCAATGGAATGAATTACCAAAACAATTAATTCCAGGTGTTTATGAAGGAAAAGATTCAACTTCTTTAAAAACTCGAATAATTGTTAATTCAATGAATTTACTTTTTATTTTTAAAAGACTTAATAAAGAAAATCATAAAATAGATAAAGATTATGGACCTATTTGGGAAGAAATTGAACAAAATAATCATGATGAAAATAATGAAGATAGAACAAATGAAGAAGAAATTAATGTAAAAAAGGAAATTGAAAACAATTCTTTACCAAAAGAAATTGAAAGTATAAATAAATAATTATTTTATAAATTATTTAAAGGGATTTAATTAAATTAATTCCCAAACTAGTTGGGGAAGTCCTCGAATAATTTTGGTTTTGTTCACTTTAAGAGTGGTAGATACATATAGGTGAATGAGCAAGCAAATCATCGTTATTTTAGAAATCATTCAGTCTAAGAGTGATAAATAGTGTAGAAAATAAAGAATGAGTTAACGAGCTCTAAGGGTTTCTACAAAGTCGGAAGTAAACTAAATTGAATAAATTGAAAATATAGTTTAAAGTACTCGAGTTTACACTACTCGAAATTTTTTAAATTTATTTTTTAAGAATTTATATATGAACAATACAAATCGTTGAAGAATAATAAACAAAAAGAAAATGAAAGAAAATTGGTGAAAAAGAAGTTTCCAGGGATTAATATTAAAAAGAAAATAAGAAAGGTTAAAAGTATTTTTTCAAAAGCTTTTGGAATTAAAAAGAAAAGTCCAAAAAGAAAAATAATTCCAAAAACAAATTCTTTGTCTAATAAAGAATGGATGAAATTAATTGAAGAAAGAATTAAAAATCCAAATAAAATTAAGGAAATTAATTTTAATCAACCAAAACAGCCAAAAAATAATAATAAAGAAAAAGAAAATGAACACCATAACTCAAATGAAGATAATGCAGAAAGTAATAATAATAATAATGAAATTAATAAAATACAAAAGAAAAAGAGAATTATACATCATGGAGAAATTGAAGAGGAAATAAGTGAAGAGGAGGAGGAAGAAGAGGAAGATGAAGTAAATTAATTAATTTTAAATAAAATTTATACACTGTGTTTCAAAAGTATACGCGCACCTAAATTTTCGATTTTTCTGTCATTAATACTTATGTAAATATCTTCTAGATTTTTTATAATATATAAAGGAACTAAACAAGAAGATCCATGGACAATTTCCCCAAAAAATTCAATAATTTATTTTTATTTTTTATTTTTTCCCAAAATAGGGTGTTTCATAAGTATACGCGCACTTATATAACTAAAAATTTTCGACATTAGGGATGGAAGTGATATTGAAACAAAATACAAAAGAAATGAAGTTCCAGTCAAGTCCCATCATCGAGATTTAAAAACCCGAAAATCAACGGAAAACCGAGGTAAATGTCTTTAAAAAATATTTTCGACCCCTTATAGGTCAGATAAAAATTTAATTTTGGGCTTATTTGAAAGCCCTTGAAATTTGCTACAGGATATTTTTCATCTCATATTCTAGAAAAAATTTTTCTTTAAAAAATAATGAGTTAAGTTTATAAGCTACATTTTCATCACTTTTTGGGGGGCGTTTGAGTGATTTTGGTGACTTGAAAGTTTATCACATGTTATGTCTTAAATTGAATTTTTTCGAAAAATAAGATTAATGCTATCTTGTAGCAAATTTCAAGGGCTTTCAAATAAGCCCAAAATTAAATTTTTATCTGACCTATAAGGGGTCGAAAATATTTTTTAAAGACATTTACCTCGGTTTTCCGTTGATTTTCGGGTTTTTAAATCTCGATGATGGGACTTGACTGGAACTTCATTTCTTTTGTATTTTGTTTCAATATCACTTGATATGTTTAAAGAAATTTTTGTGGATTTTTCGAACCATCCCTAATGTCGAAAATTTTTAGTTATATAAGTGCGCGTATACTTATGAAACACCCTATTTTGGGAAAAAATAAAAAATAAAAATAAATTATTGAATTTTTTGGGGAAATTGTCCATGGATCTTCTTGTTTAGTTCCTTTATATATTATAAAAAATCTAGAAGATATTTACATAAGTATTAATGACAGAAAAATCGAAAATTTAGGTGCGCGTATACTTTTGAAACACAGTGTATTTATATGATTAATTAAGTTCAAGCTACAACACAGAAGCCGAAGGAATAAAATGAAAATAGCCGATGATAAACCCGAAACAAGCCAAAATAGAGAGCAATTAAAGTTTTCTCCACCCCAAGATGGTTAGTAGTTAAAATTATATTTTGTGTTTATGTTTTGGTGAAATTTCTCAAGTAAATTTATTTATTCTCGAATTTGTGCTTGCTAGAATATTTATGAAAACATTAGGGGAAAAATTACAAATAATAAACCACAAATATTTTTTTAAAAATTTTGGTGTAATTTAGTTGCAGATGAAATTGAAAAATTCAAACAAAGAAATTTAGTTGGAATATTAAAGAAGAGTTTATCTATGTGATAGTTTAGTCTTAACAATTTTTGTAATATGTAGTTGTAATCTTACTTATTTTTGTAAAACAAATAAACATGGGGTTTTAAAACATATTTTTACTAAAAAGGGGAGTGGGTTGTTCTCCGAGAAATAATACTAAAACTATTATATTTAACATACATATATATCGAAATTTAGAAAGAACATACAAAATTCTAACACAAGCTACCGAGCGATTGAAAAAATTTCAAAAAGAAAAACATTCGAAAGGATCACTTTGGTCAAAAGGAATTAACAATTTGAAAAGAATTAAAGCAAATATGTAAAACCTAAATTTTTTAAATTCTTTATTATATTATCACACGTGTTCGAGAGGACTTTTAAAAATATCATAGGATTTAGAAGGATATTAGGGGATTTAGAAATTTGTGGGGATATTAAGAAGATATTGCAATTAAGAAGGAAAAATAAGGAGATTTCTCGATATCTCCTACAAATTCCAAATTTGTCAATACCTCCTCCAAGCTATCTTATTGTTAGACCCTCTTAAGCCTCAAAAATCCAAATTTTTTATGAGAGTACCTAAATTTTCTTAATCCTTGATATCTTTCATTTACTCTCATCCTCCTATTCAAATGTATTTATTCCCAAAAAGCAACTCAAAATTTCGCCTGCAGCGTCGACCTCGCAATATTTCACAACAGTATATGAAAAATTGATAAATCCTTCAGTTAGATTTTTTATTTGTTCGAGATTTATCAATTTTTCTTGTAAAATTTATTCCTGAAAAAATCTAACTTTTTTTACTAAATTTTCTCATATTTTTCCGTAAACTAAATAAATAAAATTTAATAAACCAAAACAAAAATTAGCCATCAAAATAAATAAAGCGTTATTACACATGTAAAAATAAAAATACATTACTATATTTTTCAATGTAAATATAATATTTTCAGTATTTCCAAACATAATATTTTTAAAATTTATCTGTCCTTAACCTCTAAACAATACCCTTCTTAATTTGATTAAAATAAAAGTTAAGCACATTATTTGAATGATGCCAACGAGGATGGTCAATATTTTTATGCCAAAAAGGAAATCCAACCAATAATTGACGTTTTGCCTTTAAATTTTAATTAAAAATATTTTTTAACTTTTAAATTTACAATTTTATCATTTTGATTAGTCAAAAGTGATTTTTGTTCATTTTCTTGTTCTTCATCGTCTTCTGAACTTGTTATATTCTCCAAATATTTCATTGCCCATTTACTTGCAATTGGAACCGAATTAATTTTAATATTTTGATCATCATTTGAGAATCCCTAAAATAATTTATTAATTTCTAAAATATATAAACAAAGAATGAACAAAAAAATAAAAAATTTTCGCCTAGCCTTCTAAAATATCAAAATTTTCTTAACGCTAAAGAATCAAAACCTTCTTACTTAACCTTCCAAAATGGCATTAAAAATCAAGGGCGTATCCAGGGGGTCGGTTTCGGGGGGGGGGGGGGGGGGGGGGCTAACACTGGGTGGGCGCAAAAATTTTTGGCGTTTACCTTGGCGTTCCGGACGCAAATTTTTTTGCACATAAATTTTCATCTTTTCTGCGCCGCAGGCGAAAATTTTTTGAATATTAGAAGGCCGTAGGCCAAAAAAATTCACTTTTTTGCGCCGCAGGCGAAAATTTTTTGGAATTTGGTGCCCAAGAAGCAAGATTTCTTCATTTTTTAGCGCCGCAGGCGAAAATTTTTTGGAATTTGGTGCCCAAGAAGCCAGATTTCTTCCTTTTTAGCGCCGCAGGCGAAAATTTTGAGGATTTTGGAGCTCAAGAGGCCAGATTTCTTCCACTTTTTGCGCCGCAGGCGAAAATTTTTTAAAATTTGAGGGTTGTAGGCGAAAAAATTTCACTTTTTCGACGATCCTTCTCCTAATTTCTTCCCCCTATCCCCCATTTCGGGGGGGCTCTAGCCCCCCCCAGCCCCCCCCCTGGATACGCCCTTGTTAAAAATGGGTAAAATTTTGCGTTAAATCAACAAAGTGAATTAGCGTAGTGAATTTCATTTAAAAATTAATCATGCCTTAGTTTATACGATTATGCAAGAAAGAGAATTCTTCTTAACCCTCCAAAAACCTGGCTATTATAAATCCGCAAAAAGTAGGCAAATAATTATTTGTTTTCATTGACAAATGAAAGTTTTATAATAAAATTTACCTTTTTATTTAAACCTCCACTACCACTACTTTCATAACATTCCTCACTATCTGTCCAATCAACCTTATTACTAGCTTGATTTTTTTGATCCAATTTTCCATTTTCCTTATTTCCATTTTTCATGGCTTTTAACTGAGCATCCACACAATTTTTTCCTTTTTTATTTTTCTTAGTTTTTTGTTTTCCTTGCCGCTGCTCATTCTTCTTGTTTTGGAAGTTTCTCTCTTTAAAATAACTTTAGATCAATATTAATAAAAACTTACGATTATTGCCTTGGTTGTGATGTTTTTGCCGCTCAGTAATTAAATCTAAATTCAAAAATAACTTTAATATAAATTAATAAAAACTAATACTTGTGGCAATTGGAAAGTCAATCTGTGGCCTAGAAGAAACAAAAAATCGACGAGCAGCTTCTTGTCTGTCACGAAGAATGTTAAATCTCTTTTGGAAAGAACAGCGCAAATCAGGGTCCATTTCAAAAGGCATTTCATCGATTGGCCAAATTGTGCCATGATTAGCCCAGAGAAAAGACTAAATTCAAGAAATTGACAAAAATAAAAAATAAATTGACCTTCCATTCTTCAGCAGTTTTTGAATGACGAATTTGTAACAAATCATTTCGACTATAATTAATCGATCCATCAATAGAAGAAAGGCTTTTAACATCAGAAGTCTTAGATATTTTTGAAAGCAATGATTGAGGCATTTGTGTAATAAGTTGTTTTAAATCGCTAACATTGCCAAAATCTTGAATACTGATTGACTTAAAAAAGTTAAAAAAATCTAGATTTAAGTTCCTATAAAATTGACAAACATCTGTGAGCATATCCTGTTGTTCACCAGAACTAGATTTGCTGACAATCAAACTCTTATCTATTTCACTATTCTTTTCTAAATCCTTTTCATTTGAAGATACATTAGACAAAACTTTCTGTTCATTAACATCATTTTCTTGAAAACTGGAATTTTGACTAAAAAATTCTTCTTCGTCACTAACTTCCAAATTATCTTGATTTTCGTTAGGTGAAAGATTTTCATTTTCAAGAAGCTCCGAATCGGAATCTTCTGGAATAACACCATCATACTGAAAATTATCTGTCCTCTCACATTCATTTTGGCAAGAAGAACCCACTGAAAGTGATTCTTTTGAGTTGCTGTAATTGTCCTTTCCAATATTGTCAATCTTTGCTTCCTTTTTTAAACCCTAATGATGTAACAGAAATAAAAAATGATAAAAATATATATAAAACATACAAGTAAAGGTGGCGTCGAGTCCCGCAAACGAAAATCCTCATCCTGGCTTGAATCTGAACATCTATTTTGATGAACTTCGTCTTTGTCAACAACTCCTTCAAAAACGCTCTCAAAAGATGGTACCTAAAAAACATAAAAATTTATATGTATATGAAGATAAACCTCAGTTGATTTTGGCGGACTACTAACACAAACAAAATCTTCATCATCACTTGAAATTGAGGCATACTTTGGAAATAATTCATCCAAACTAGGCTGTGTTTGTGGAAAACCTGCTTCCAATGTAAATTTGGTACCAACAGCTGGTTTATTAAACGAAAGAGATGCAGATGTCTTAAAAAGATGCAATTTACAAATTCAGAAAATAAAAATGAATTGTCGAACCTTATTAGTATGCGGAGGTGAAGCTTCGGCCCGAAAATCCTCATCATGACTGCAAAATGAATCATTAAGCATTTCTTTATTGTCAATATCAAGTTTTTCCTGAATGTCTGTCTCCTAAAAAAATTATTTTTAATATGCCACACCGTCACAGAAATATTGCAATCAATCACCCCTATTAACATAAAAAAGAATAAAGAACCTTAACTCCCGAACAGTTTGAATCGTTGTCACAAATAAAATCTTTGTATTCATCATCATCAGAAGTACCAAGCATTTCCTTTTGTTGTGATAGAAGTGTCTGTTCAACTTCCGGTAATTTTAAAAAATTTGTAAATTTATCTCCCATAGCTAAATAGGTAAATGAACGCTTAAAAATGAATATAAGGAAATATACAGTACTACATATGTATCTTAATCTACTAGGATATAACTTTTTGAGGTTGATCTTTCAATTGATATATTAATTATCTCAAACGATCAAGAATTGAAAAAGTTATGGCCCAAAATATGGCTCTCTGACTCAATTGGCGGGACTCTGTGATCCTGTTCCGCGAATAATTGTTGATATTCGGGTACCGGTTAAGGACGATTCAGTATCGCCGATTCAGTATAGCCGATTCAGTATCCGCCGATTCAGTATATGGCCATAACCTTCCTCATATTCGACCGATTTGAATAATTCTCATATGATTCGAAAGGTCTCGAGATTCTACATCTTTTTCATAATTAGCCCGATTAGATCTGATGATCACAAAAAAAGTTACAGCGTGAAAACCGATTTTTTCTGCTTGTGACGATTATCAGTGATAACTTTTTGTAGAGTGATCAGATCAGGTCAGTCCAATTATGAAAAAGATGCAGCACCCCGAGGCCTATCAAATCATACTACAATATTGGTCGAGCAAAAAGTTATGGCCAAAAAGCCCAAATACTGAAAGTTATGGCCAAAAAGCCCAATACTGAATCGGCGATACTGAATCGTCCCCTACCCTTCGGGTACAGCCCAAGTAGGCGCACGTCCATAACGGCGCAAAGCCATAGCTTGCTTGGAGATTTCCGATTTCTCAAAATATAGTATTAAACGATTCCTCTCATCGAGCTAAAGAGATTGGTACCAAAATTTATGGGCCAGAAATGTTCAAGCAAGTTATGGCTTTGTGCCGTATGGCCGCGCGCCTACTTGGGCGTGTGCCTTGATATTCGCCGCGGACCAACCAAAATTGACCCTATCGTTCACTACCAGATTTAGATATTTTTCTCCAATTTTTACTTTGAATATTTTCAACCTTAATGGATTTTTATTCTGAAACAAACTTCGTTACAACAGACTCAATGCCTCATACCTCAAGTTCTTTTTTAACATGCAACACTACTGATTTAGATAAAGAAGCGATTAATCCTGTTACCTCAAAAGCACTCAGCAGTTCTGGTAGTAGTAATCAAAATGTTTGTGCACATTGTGGCTTTGAAATTTACGAACCAATGTATTTTTTATAATTCTTATCAAATTTTATAAAATTTTAAACAGATCCTCAAAAGATAAAGCTTCGATTATGATTACAAATTTACCACATCTTCCATTACACGATGCTGCTTCAATGAATCAAAAAGATGCCAATATTAAATTGTTTCGATCACATGATGAGGATACTTCTGAATGGATATTTTGTGATATTTGCCGTAAATGGTTTCACGCAAAGTAATTATTAATTTATTTCAAAAATTAAAAATTTCTTTTTAAGTTGTGTAGATATTCAGCAATATGAGATGCCATTAATTGACAAATACCATTGCCCAAGCTGCCGATTTGAACATGGAGATAGTATAAGTAAATGATTACTTGACTATACTTTTGTGTTTATTATTCTATTTTAGTGAAGGTAAAGAGGCTTTTCCATCGTTATGTATTTGATGACGAGTCTCAACGTGCTTTACCTATTCAAATTGGGACGGAAGCTTGGACACACAATTTTAAAAATGAATATAGAAAAATTCCAGAAGTGTATGTTTTTAATTATTTTTAATAGAATATTTCTAATTTTTAGTACACGGGAAATGATTGATTTCTATGAGGATGGACGTCAATTAATGCAAAATTTTAATTTTTTGTCAAAATGGACCAAACCTATAAAAGTTAAAAACTGTAAAGGGCTCGGCCTTCGAATGCCCGATGATCCATATTTTGATATTTTGGATGTCATTAAACTGCTTGGTAGATATATGTAATGTTTCAATTTTATTTATTCCTTTTTAGGTGGGCATGTTTTAGTTGACACTATCGATGTATTTGCACAACAAACTTATACAATGAGTTTGGACAGATTTTATGGGTTATGGAAAAAGCGTATTCGTGATCGGCTTTATAATATTCTTTCGTTGGAATTTTCTGGAACCAAGTAAGTGAAGATTGTTATTACTCCCTTCCCCGTCCTTTTACCCAGATTTTGTTTTATTTGAGTCGAAATGTACAAATGATATGTACTTATTCGACTTATTTTTATTTTTTCAAATTTATTATAATTTATAAATTTTTAGGCTTTCTGATATAGTTAGAAGTCCTTCAATTGTTCGAGAACTTAGTTGGGTTAGACGTTTCTGGCCGAGAGACAGTCAATCAGAGTTGCATCAGGAGATATCTCTTGATGATATTTACACATGTTTTTTTTTAAATTTAGTTTCCAAGCAATCCTTATTTTTAGTTGACGAAAATCCAACATGGCAAAAACATTTTGGTCGGGCAAATGAATCAGATCATCAACATGAGAGTTCAAGGCCTTACGTTGAGAATTTCTGTCTACTGGGGATGCGAGGGAGCTACACTGATTTTCACATTGATTTTGGCGGTTCTTCTGTTTGGTATCACGTTTTTAGGGTTTTTTATATAATTTTATTAATTAAATTAAATCGTTTCTATTAGGGCTCAAAAATTTTCTTTATTGCCCCTCCTTCGCCTGAGAATTTACAAGCTTTTCTTAATTGGCAAAATGATAAAGAGCGATCGGAAAAGTTTTTTGGTGATCTTTTACCGAATAATGGAAAAATATATCGTTTGGAGGTTGGGGAACGCGAGACATTATTACTTCCTAGCGGTAAAATTTTTCAATAAAATCGAAAAAAATTAATTTTTAGGTTGGATACACAGTGTTTATACTCCTGAAGACTCGATTGTATTCGGCGGTAATTTCTTGCATTCGTTAAATGTTGATTTGCAATTGAGGTAATTACAATAAATTCATTTTTTGACAAAACGCAAAATAATTTTGTTTTTCCTCAATTTAGGGTTTATGATATGGAACTCGCTGTTGAGACTGACGAACGCTTTAAATTCCCTTTTTTTGAATTATGTAATATTTATGCAGCTAAGAGCTTTGCCGAATCGATAAAAGGTTTTTAAAATAATTTTTCATTTATTAATTTTACTAGATTGCACAGAATGTGGACAACTAGCAGATCAATTCCAAATTAATGTGGCTACTTTACTTCTTGAAAAGTGTAGTAAATGGATTCAAGAAGCGGACAAATTTTCAATATTCAAGGGAACATTGAAACAGTTGGAAAAACAACTTGAACGGCAAACAAATCTTCAACGACGAATAAAGTTTTATTTTAGTATAAATCTTGTTATAATTTTTTAATTAGGGCTCACAATCCAGCAATTAATTCAACATGTATGCCTGCAATTTCCCCATCTTCCCGGTGTTCACCTTCAAGACAGCCAGAACTCGAGATTCAAGATTTGGACAGCAGTTGGGATCAAGATGATGTTGATGAGTGTAATGAACAGGAAGATGATTTTGACACTATTGCTGATGATGATGATGATTCTGATAATAACTCTGATTTTGTGAGTATTTATATCTTTATTATTTATCTTTAAGGCCCAAATTTGCAAAAAATTACTTCTATTTCTATTTTTTTTATTAAGAGAACAGAAGCTGGAAAGGAATTATCTATAGGTCAGCAACCTTCGACTTCTGCCAATAATGTGACTGGCCTGGTGGATACTGTTTCTGATATTGATCCTGAAGGACATATTCGTCTAAAAATTAAGCGTATATAAAAAATTTACTGCCAAAATTCACTATTTAATTTTAGTGCCCTGTTGGCATCAAAAGCCTGACAATGAGAAGAAACAAGTTAATAATGATATAGTCTTTAACATTTTATTTAATTTGCTAAAATTTAAATTTAGAATATTATCGCGGACGAAGATGAGGCAGATATTGGTGCAATGTTTAGTGGTAGATCAATTCATGGGCGCCAGATTCGTCCAACTTCTCGGATTTCAACATTAGGAGGAATTACCATGGGTAAATTTTGTAATATTTGCCATTTAATTTTTAAACATTTTTAGGTGATCAGAAAAATGATGTCTTCGATTTTGTCCCTGGAACTGCTTCTATTACCTCTAAAAATGTTGGCCATAAAGATTTCATATCACCATTTGCTCTTAAAGAGCGCCCACAAGTACACCTTGCTGATAAAGCTGGTTATTATTTTATATAATTTTTTTTACTTATAAAAATATTTTAGATGAGAAAAACTACAAAAATGAATTATTTTTGCCTTTAAACAAGCAAAAAAGAAAGAAAATAAATACAAATTGCTCTAACATTGATTTTTTCCCAAACGATTTATTTACTTCAACTTCAAGTACCTCATTAAATAAAGCAGATTCTGTGATACAAAAGAAACCAAAGAAAACTTCAGCAGTTAATTCTCGTGAACGTCTAGCAAAGAAATTAGGCTTAATGCGTAAGAAGTAAAATCTCATTTTGTATTTTTTGTCCTGCTCTCTGTGATTAATAAGGTCCTCCTCTATTTTATTCAAAACTCTTCCTATTCTAAAATTTTTAATTATAATATTTGGTATTTAAATTTATTTTGTTAGAATTGTATTTTAATGATTATCTCCTACATATATCCTCCCGTTTCTTTCACATTTTTTATTCTTTCACATTATTGATACCTACTTTGTTCCATTATTTGATTTTTTGTATATTAAAATTGTAATTAAATTCTTTTTTTATTAAATTTGTGTATGTAAACTCTGACAATTTTCTTTATTTGATATTTAAATTTTTAATTTGTTATTATATCTTTTAAATAGTAATTAAATGGATAATGCACTGGAGTTTGTAAATTCTAGATTAGGAACTCAACAATAGTAAGGATTTAGTTTTGTGACAAAAATGGGAGGGGATTTTTAATTTTTTTGAAATAAGTAAACTGGTAAAACATTAAATTTTTGGGTGTGAAAATAAAAATTATAAACTACAAGGGAATATCTTAAAATATTTTCTAAATTAAGTTGGGATAAATTTTATGATGAAGAGTTGGCTAATTTTGAGGAAAATGGTGGAGAAGGAGAGGTGAGTTTTTATTTCTTTCTTTTTGTTAAAAATTATATTTTGTTAGATCTGGTTTGGTCGTTTATGTGAGGCTAAAATGGTTGAATTTTTAATCAAGAAAGCACCCAAAGATGCAATTATTTGTGATATTGGTACAGGGAATGGATCGGTATTGCGAAAATTGGTAAAAATAATTTGTTTAAATTTATTATTTTAATTTTCTTAGAGTAATTGTGGTTTTTTGAATTTATTTGGAATTGATTATTCTAATAAAGCTATAGAATTGGCAAAGAATATTTCATCTAAAAATTATTCTAATAATAAAATAAAATTTTTGGTTATTTAAATAATTTTTTCAATTAATATAATATTTAAAGTTAGTAAATATTAGTGATGATAAATTTGAAAGTGAATTGAAAGGAAAATTTGATATTTTGTTGGATAAGGTGAATTTATATATAGAAATAATTTATAAAATTTAATTTTTAGGGTACTTTTGACGCAATATCCCTCACAAATAAATCTGATCGGGAAAATCATTTAAAATTTTATCAACAAAATATTTGTCAACTTTTTAAACAAAAATTTAATGACAAAAGTAAAAATACCTATATACTTATTTTATTTGAGATTTAATTTTTAAATTAGTTGATGATGAAATTCCTCGATTTTTGCTAATTTTCTCTTGCAATTTTACAAGGCATTAAATTATTATTTTTAAAATAATTTTTTTTAATTTGAAGAAATGAGTTAATTAATTTATTGGAAAATGAATTACTTTGTTTTGATTGTGAATTGTCTACAAATAATAATTTTGAATTTGGTGGGTGTAAAGGGAATACTTATATAGGTTGTGTATTTAAATGGAAAGGATGAAATATAATTTGAAAAAATATTTTTGTTATAAATAATATTTACATATTTTTTGTAAAAATATTTTTTAATATTAAACAGCGCTGTTTTGAAATTTCGATTTTCGAATATCTAATAAAATAATGGGCAACAAAAAACATTTCATATTTAAATAAACATTCTTTACCAAAAATAGATTCCTCTAATCTACCTTCTATCCGTTTTAAATTTGTAATCTAATTTCGTTTTTCTCAATACCACCCAAAAAATGCTTTCTCAATATTATTCCTTTATTGGGGATAATATACCTAATAAAGATTAGGATTTCGAAGTTATTCCCAAAGTTAAATTTTTGGCGGCACTGTCTCTCAATTTGTTAATCTTATTATTTATTGGCAATCTTAACCGACCCCGACTAAAATGATCACCACAAATCTCAGTATATCCATCCCCGAATGTCGTAGTTTTTACTTTAGTTAAATCTTTAAAAATAAAATCAACACAAACTTTTACAGTATAAATAAATAAACATTTTCTTTTATTTAATATGCACAATTATTTCAAGAATTTTTATAAAAATAATTTAAAATCATTTAATTCAAAATTAATTACATTTAGCTTTTCCTTCTGTTATTTTCTCAATCCAATCACAATAAAGTCTTATTGTTGTGAAAAACCCTTTTTATTTTAAATTTATATTAAAAATAATATTTTAATTTTACCTTTAAATTCACAAAGCCAAGAACCTCTACTTGTTATCCCAATTTGTTCCCAATTATTTGTTTCTGGATTTTTATAAAGTAAAGGGCCCCCACTATCTCCCTTTATTAATAAAAAAATAAAATTTTTATCTATGTATTAATTAATTACAAAACAAGTATTTTCTCCACCAGGTCCAAAAGCACAAATTTCAGTTTTTAATACTCCATCACATTTTGGATCTTCATTATCCCAAACTGTGACATTTGCTCCTTGTAATGTTACTGGAGAACTTCCATCTTTATATTTAAATTAATTTATAAATAAATAAATTTATTTATTTATTAACCATCAATACGCCCCCAACCAGCAATATATGCACTTGAATTAATTGAAATTTCACGGCTTGACAGAATTACTGGTTGAATATCATATCCATTTATTGGACTCTCCAACTTTTTTTTAATTTTAATATTTTAAAAAATATTTTAATTTTACCTCAGCAATTGCCAGATCCTTTCCAAAAATATCTTCAGAAAATATATTAACTTTTTTTATATTAATCCACAATGACTGAGTATTATTTTCTATAGCATTAACAGTTCCGGCCATAATGCTATATTTTCCTTTAAATCCAAAACAATGCCCAGCAGATAATATATGGGTTGGGGAAATAACAGAACACGTACATAATCTTCGACAATCAAGCCATAATGAAGCCATAAATGGAAGTTGATTTATATGGTTAACTGATAAACCTCTATGAATCTTTTAAAAAAATTTGTGTATTTTCTTTAAATTTAGAGGAAGAAAATTAATTTAATAAAATATAAAAGTATTCACTACTTTAATTAACAAAAAAATATTTTTTTAAAACCTTTAATTCATCTATAGCAGTATTTCCTTCTAAAATATTTCGAATATTTTCCTCATTAATTAATTTATTTTTTAAAATATTTTCATCATTTTCTACTACTTTATTAGTTAATTCAATAATTGTTTGCCCTTCTTTTTCTTCAGTTTTTGAATTTTTTGTACAATAACTCTTTGAATTAACTTGTAAGAATGAAATAAAAATACAAAAAATTCCAAAAAATTTTGGTGTTTTTAAAAACATTTATTAAAATAAATAAATAAATTTAAATTTATGTAGATTATTGCACAAATCTGTAAATAAACTAAATATTTATATTTATATAAGTAACTTTTAATTAGTAAAAATTTCTTCTTCTTTTGCTTGTGGCGATTATTAATTACCGATAATTTTTTCTTTGTTTAACCACAAAAATATTTATTTTTATTTGTAGACAGGATATTAAAATAAATTTAAAAATAAAATAAAGAAATCCAAAAACTTGTTTTTAAATTTTTGAAAAAAATATTTAAATTAAAAGTTTTGCTTTTTATTTAAAAATATTTTGTATTTAAATTTGGCAAAAAAAGTCTATGTATGTATATAAAATATAGTAAGAATATTTTAATTTTACCTCCCCCCTTTATTTTAATTATTAAATTCAATTTTTGTTTAAAAGTTTTACCTACACATTTGTAATATTCAACATTCACTACAAAAACTTTTTATTGGAAAATACAACAAATCAAATTTTAATCTTTCAAAGTTTTTAATAAAATAATTTAATATTTATTCCCTAATATTTCAGAAAAATAAACATTTTTATTTTACAAAAGTTCCAACTCCTTCAAAACAAATATTTTGTTTTTTATGTCCAAATCTTTTAAACTTTCATTTTAACAGGTGGCTATTTACTAATAAATAAATAAATTTATTTATTTTTAACTTTTGTTTGTCCATAACTCTTTTGTTTTGTCTGTTTGTGTCCACCTACTAATTTATTTTCCTACCTTCTACTACATACGTATAATTTTTGTCTTTCATTTTTCATTTAGTAATAATAAGTTTTCTTTAGTGGATTTATATTTATTATTTTGTAGATTTCGAACTCGCGCTGGACTCTGGTTCTCTGTTTGATAGACTCACCCCTACGGCCCAGTTTTATCTGAAAATTTTGATAAAATTCTTGATAAAAAATACAAATTTGGTAAAATTTTCTATCTTTCTGCCCAATTCTGGCTTGCTTCGACACCCAAAAATTTCGCTTGTAGCTCTAATAAAGTTAACTTATTGCTTTATAGGTACTAATGCATTTAAGCCTTTACACAGCAAGGTCAGTAATCATGTCTGTGCCCGAATACCGGCCCGGCAATTTTAAAGTTCGAACTCTAATATTTTGCTTGTTTCAGCGAGGATTTTCACATTTATAATGTCTTCAAAATTATATTTCATACCTATTTTGAGTGCCTATTTTGAGCTTTTCAACTGCCTATTTTGAATAGATATTTAAATAAACTTTTTTATTGTTTAATAAATTTATTCATTAAATTATTAATTAATATAAATAATTATTTTATTTACAATATAATTTTGTTTGACCTCTTTTAGTAAATAACCAGTTATTTAAATAAATTAAATTTAAAAGAACAAAGAACTTTTACCCATTTTCGAATTTTCTTTTTGCAGCATTTTAATTTTGAATTTTAAAATCAAAAAAAAAATTTAAAGAAATGTCATGAATTAAAAATATATATTTATTTCTATTTTAAATCACCATATGTCGTCTTTTCCAAAATTTTTTCCTCCAAAAATCTTTCCTAACAGATTTTTACTTTAATTTCACAAAATATATTTAAAACACACAAAACACATTTATATATTAAATATATATTAAATTTTTATTTTTAATATATTTTTAATATCCTCCTCCTCATCTCTCCCTTTCTCTCCCTCCCTCCCTCCCCACAACCATCTGTCCCAAAAATATTTTTATTTTTGTTTCAATGTCCACCTATATATTTCTGCTAAAACTGAATGAATGCCCTCTTCTCCCGCATTTTAAACATCAAAACAATCATCGATCTTTCCCCCTCATTTTTATTTTAGTTGACAAAAGCTTTTTATTTACTTGCTATTTTAAACTTTTTTTTTTAATTTTTATATTAAATAAATATAAAATTAATATTTAATTTCAATTTTAATTAAATATCAATCATTTATGTCAACGGCTTTATTTAGAAAGCAACAAATGATAGCTCATTCAACTCAACTCGCCGAGTTGAGTTGAAAATTAACGAGATTAGGTGAATTTTGAACACAAATAAACGATTAACTAGACCAATCACCCATGAAAGTATTGGTCAAATTAAGATTATTACTTCTGTTGGATGTATTTTTGATATATTTAAACAGATTAAATATACATAATAATGAAATAACGTGTATATTATGAATTAAAGTTCGAGTCTGCTCAACTTAAAAATGAGCTTTCTTCGTTTGTTTATTTTCCATTAAATAGTTGGGTGGGTGGGGGGAAGGGCGGTGGTATAAAGTCTCTAATTATTTTGTTATCTTTTATTGAACCTGATTAAAATTTAAATAAATAAATTTATTTAAAAACAGGTATTTATTTAAAATAAAAAGAAAAACTTTTTTCTCATACCTTTATTTTATTTTTTATTTTTTTTTATTTATTTGTGCGCATCTTTTCATTCTAATTAATTTTTTTTATTTTACAAAGAAAGCCGCCATCATATATAAACTTGTTGATTAAAAATAAATTTAGCCAGTAAAGCTTTAATTTTTAAACAAAATTATATCTTTATATTTAAGATAGGGATAAAAATATTTTTGACAATTTTTTGAAATTTTTCCTTCAATTCCTTTGAATATTTTTGTTTTCAACTAATTTTAATTTAAAATTAATTAATTATATTTTAATTCCCAAACAAATATATTTAAAATTAAAAACATTAAAAATCGCGCAGTCAATATTTGTGTGTTTTTATTATTTTTTACAAACACAGCTTTTAATTTATTTTTATATTTGTTAAAGCTTTTAGGTAGCGATCAGCTGCCCATATATGTATGTTATTTACTTATTCTCCACATTTTTCTTTACTTTTTTTTTAACATTTTTTCCTTTAAAGAGATTTACCGATATTTAATTTATGCTTAGTTCCACAGAAACATACAAAAAAATCTCTTACTATTAAGGAATATTTGAATAAATAAACCCAAATAATTTACGTAAAAGACATATTTTAATATTTTTAGACAGTTTTGGTTAATTTTTGAATTGTTTCTTGTTCAGAATTTTAATTTAATTTAAAATCCCCCCCCTTCCCTTTCTTTTTATTAAATTACTCGACACAATTAAAAATATTTTATTAAAAATGTTGCTTTTTTTCAATATTACTGACGTCCAGTCGTGATCCAGTCCATTATTTAGTTTATTTATGTGTTGAATGTCCGCACCGGTTAATTCTAAAAAGATTCTTCTTTTTAAGATTTTTATAGAATGAGTAGGGAACGGATTTATATGGACTATTAATCGAAAAATATGGACATATAATATGGACTAAAAATCTCAAAATATGGACTGAAATATGGACTAAAATCCAAAATATGGATCAAATATGGGCCGAAAACTGAACATTTTTAACGAGAAAATTTTGATTTTTAAGTGGAAAATGTTAATTAAGTTAATTTTGATGCATAATATTACAAATAAATCAATTTATAGTGATTATTTTGTTTCTAAAAATACTTCGGATAATATTTGAGTCGAAAATTTTTTCAAAAATTTTTGTCAAAAAAATTTTTCAAAAAATTTTTCCAAAAATTTGCCAAAAAATTTCATAAATTTGAAAATTTTGACCAATTTTTGGCAAAATTTTACAAAAAATGACGAAATATGGACGAAATATGTAAAATATGGACCGAACGTTAAAATATGGAAAAATATGGAAAATATGGATTGATAACTCATTATCGGTCTTATCAACATATGCTAAAACTATGTTTTTTGAACGTTTCAAGACCCAACTAGGCCAGGAAAAAAATATGGAAATCCATATAAATCCGTTCCCTAAGAATGAGAGAGGAGGAGAGAAAAAGTTTTCTTTTTTATTTACTTAATTTAAATTCTTTTTCTCAAATATTCTTCCCAAATTTGTATATTTATTTTTAAAAGATTATCCTTTTATTTTTCTTTTCTCCGATTTTTTTATTTTTAGCTAATTTACTTTAGGTAATTATGGATATTATTGATTTTTTAAATTAATTTTATTTAAATTATTTTTACAAAATTTCTAGAAATTAAAATTAAATATTTCTAAAATTTAATTTAAAAGTAAAAGGGCTTCTTTTTGTTTTAAACTTATTCAGCGGAATGGAATGTTTAAACAATTGTGCATTTTACTGGAATTTTGATGCAAATCACTCTCTACATACAATTGGAAAATAAAATTTTGCCCCCTCCCTCCCCCCCCCCTCTTCCCCCACCTTACGCGCCCTCCGTAAATTTTACGCAATAATTTAAATATATATATTTATAACCCCCTTTTATTTCTCCGTCATTGGAATTTTATTTTTATATATTGCAAATAAATAAATAAATTTTAGAAAATATTTAATTAAAATATTTTTTTTAATTTTTGTGTCAATTGTTCTTCTTAATCCTTACAAAAATGTATTCTTTAAAATTGCCACGAAAGATAAGATTTAAGAAAATTAAATTAAAATTAATTTATTTAAAAATACAAAACAATAATTTATTTATTTTAAAAATTCAATTAATATTTTTATTTATTTTTTCATTTAATTTAATTTTTTTCACGGAACTTTTACCCGTTTTAACTTTTATTTATTTTAAATTAATTTTATTTTTATTATTTATTCACTTCATTTAACATTAAATAATTTTTTAAATTATATTTTCTTTTTTTTTCTTTTGTTTGATTAAATCAACTTTTATATATTTTTTTGTATATTTCACTTACAATAAAAAATAATTTTCTCCGTTTTTTTTTAAATTTCTTTTAATTTAATTTTTAATATCTAAATAATTAATTAGAAACAGCTCTCTAAAGGTTATTTTTGTTGAAATAAATTTTTTTCAAATATTTTTTTAAAATATTTTCTTTATACTATTTATTACTTCCAATCACTTTTATACATGTATTTTTTATTATATTTTGACATTTTTTAATTAAAAATTCCTTTTATTTCCCTCAAAACTACCCTTTTAAATTTATTTAATTATTACGTGTCCCCAAATTCCTTTAATCTTTTTCTATTTTAAATTCCGCATATTCTTTTATATTTTTATCATTTATTCCTTTTAAATTAAAAATAAATATTAAATTTTTAAGTTTATAAAATTGATTAAGAAAATGGCCATTTTTATTAAAATTTATTGGGAAATCAATTTAATATTCTTTTTTATTTGATTGATTAATTAAATATATTTATTTAAATTATTATTTAATCTAAAATTTTATTTTTTTGATAAAAATAATTAGAAAATATTTAAACGGAATTCAAGGTTCTAAACTACTAAAATTAGGAAAAATAAGAAAAAATTCACTGAAAATATATTTTAACAAATTTTTAGACAAATCCGCTGCATTTAATAATTTTCAAAATTCCAAAAACAAAAATTATTTTTCATTTTCTTTAAAAATACTTTAAAGTTAAAAATGGGGAAGGGGGGGGGGGGGGGACGAAAAAGTTAAAAATAAGGCAAACCCCCATTGCTGGCCATTCTGCAAAAATTCGAATTTATTTAGAATCACTTTTTGAACTTAAAATTTTATTTAAAAAAATTCTTTTTTTAACATCAAAAATCACATTTTATTTTTAAATAAAAAGCGAAAATAAAAATTTAACTCAAATTTCAAAAAAAAATTTTTTCATTTCAAAAAAGTTGTAAACTTTATTTTTTAAAAAATCCAAAAATCATTAAATAAATAAATATTTTTATTTGTGTTTTCTTGCATTGATTTCTTTTTTTTTATTTATTTTATTTTTGAAATTTAATACTAAAACATTTTTAATACTTGCTAAAACTAAAAACTACAACAAAAAAAACGGGACGAACAAAATACACAAAAATGGAAATATTATATTTAAGTATTTATTTTTATTTTTTCTTAGGATTTTTTTACAAAATTACAATTTTTTACTTAAATTTATTTTTACTCCCTCACAGATGTTTTAACCCTTTTTTAAATTTTTTTCAAAAATAAAATATATTAAAAATAAACAGAATATTTTTTAAATATTAAATTTCTTTTAATTTTTAAAAAATTTTTCATTTTTGTTTTTTTCCTTTTCAGACTTAAGAACATCCTTAGCAATAATTAACGAGATACCAAAATCCGAACATCAACTGAAAATCAGGGTAAACATTAATTAGTTAACAGAGTGTATACCATCTATATATTTACCACATTTATATTTTTTTATTTCGTCCTTTGGTCTCGACATAGTTGCCTTTTTATTTTTATAGACTATTATGTACATATTATTATTGTTTTTAATCCTTTATTTTTTTATTTAAAATAATTATTTAAATTTTTTCCTCTTTTTTCATTACGCAACTTTTAAATAATAACAAGTATTTATTTTTACTTAAATATTTTTTTGTTAATTGTCCTTTAATTTTGAATTTTATTGAAATATTAAATTTTTTCTTATAAAAAATAAATTTTGAAAAAATATTCAGATAGGTAAACACTAAAATTTTAATAACTTTTTTTTTAATTTAAAAAATTCTAAGATATTTTTTAAATATAAATATGAGATTTGATCAACAACAAATACGTGAATGTTCAAAAAGTGCAAATAATTCATCTTCTAGCCTTTTAAATAACGTCTTTCCTCAACATTCTTCTTCCTCTTCTTCTTCTACTAGACAAAATATTTCTGCAAAATTTAAAAGAGCATCTTCAGTTAGTGCTGTTGCCCCAACAACAATTAATAATTGTAAAAATGTAGAATATATTAGTGTGGATTTATTTGGATCTACAATACAATGTGTTGGAAATAATGGAGGGGGAGGAGGTGGGGGAGGAAATGTTGGAAATAGAAATGCTAGAAGTGTTACGGATACTGGAACTGCACAATTAGTTAATAAATAAATCTCAAATATTATCTCAAAAATATTTTTAAGATAGAAGCAATTCCTGGTCGTCGTTTAATTGACTGTTTGGGCCCATTTTTGGAAAGACATGGAATACCTGTTGGGTGTGCAGAATTCTTACTAGAAAAATCAACAACACCAATACCTGAAACGTCAGATTCTTTCTTTCTAGCAGGACATAAAATTTTTGTTAGAGGTGTTTGATAAATTTATTTTTAATAATAATTATTTACAGATCGAATTTTTAGGTAGTAAAAATCTAAAAATAGGTAGGCCTCATATGCAAAGACCTCATATAGGCCTCATATGCATGTTGCCTCATGCAAAAAAAAGGTCGACATATGAGGCAAAAAGGTGACAGAAAAGCGAAAAACTCAAAAACATTCAAAATAGATTACACACTACATATTTTAGGTTTTTAAACTCCTAAATAGATTTAAATAGGTAACAATTACTTGCTGTAAAAATAAGATTTCAAAAAATAACGGATTTGAGCTTCTTATACCACAACTATTCCAGGAAAAATAAGTTATAACCAAAAGTCCGAACCATAATAATAAATTTTAAAAAATAATTTTTAAGAAAGAAAATTTTTCATAGTTAAAAATAGCTCCGCTACAAACGCCGGTACATGGTCTTCTGGTTCTTCAGTAACAGCAATGCAACAGCGTCAAAAACAACAGCAACCCAGACGAGAGACGCGCCGTCGTTGTTCTGGTGTTAGCACTTTTCTCGGTGCTTTTACAAATAAAGATGAAAATATTTGTGGAAAGAGAAGGGAATGTGGATGTATGGGATCGCTTGAGGGGCAATCTACAAAATCAGCAACAATAATGACTACGTCATCAGATTCTTCTTCTTCTTTTACAACTCCTCTTCTTCCAAAAGAAGAGGAATTAGATGGAAAGCAGACAAAAATTACACAACAATCCTGCGAAGTTGCAAAATGCGAGAAAGAAATAATTTCTCCAATAGACAACAAAAATATTCAAGAAAATAATATAGTAAATATTGGTGACCAAAAATTCGAAGAAAATAATAATGTTGAGGAAGGAGAAGAAGAAGAATTGTCTACAAAAGAAGGAATTTTACTAGTGGACAATAATAACAAACTAAATAATAATAAGAATGTGACAACCGATAAAGAAGGGCGAACACTGCGCAAACAAACAACGACTAAGAACGGCAATAATAATAAAAATAATTTGGAAGAAAAAATTTGTGTTAAAAGCAACATTAATAAGAAAATTGAAGGAATGCAGAAAGGTCCTTTCTCTTCTTCTTCATCCTTCTTCTCATCATCTGGTAAAACTGCAGCTGGTTGTGGTAATAATTCCTCTTCATCTTCTATTCGTTCATCTACAACAAATATTAGTAGTGGCAAATTAACTACAAATAATTCAAAAAATAATTTTAACTCATCGTTATCATCCACCACGGGGCCTATTACTCCAATAAATTCATTTTCTTCTTCATTTTCTTCTTCCTCCCTTTCACCTCTGGTCAGTGAAGGAGGTGAAAAAGGAAGAATCCCTACAACAACAACAATATCAAAGGCAACTGTGACGACATTACTACCTGTCTCCGCAGCCGCGCGAAAATCGTCCTTCACGCAAAAGAGGAGCAGAATGATGATTGTGAGTTTTCTCTTAAGTTTTTCTTCTCTTTTCCTCAATTCTCAGCTTGTATTCTCATTTGTCATCAAATACATACTAAATACTACATTGTTGTCATTATTATGCTCTCCTTCCTTTACTATTAACAACAACCTTCTTTCTTTCAAACATTTACTTGCTAATTCTTTTTTTTTTAATTTTTACTGTCCGCTTACCACATCTGAGATTCCTTTCTATTTTTTTAACAGAAAATTTTTTACCCTTAAGATTATTTTACCAGTTTTTGATCTGTTATATTCTCTATAAATTCACAAAAAAATTCTTTCCAAATTTTAACACATCTCAATATAATATCTCGAATCTTTTTTAATAATTAATATACCTATTTTTTTTAGATGGGCAAACATGGTCGATGTCCCTCAACTTGTCCAAGTACTTCTCCTCCTCCCTCAGATTCTATAAATTCTACAAATATAACAACAACAACAACCAATTCTTGTTTAGATTCATCTGATCATTTATGTCCAAATCCTTCTAATATAATTAATTCTTCCTCTCAATTACCACAAAAACGTAAAAGTTCTTTAAATTCCGCAGCATCACTTGCCGATGCTCCTCCAACTTTAACTGCTATTTTTGGTGGTGCCGCACATAATTCTCACAGTAGTAGTGACTTTCTTTTAAATCGTCATGGACGTTCTAATGTTTTGGACGAATTTATGTCAGAAGAACATAAGGGGGTAAATTTAGCCATACCTAGAGGAGTAATTCTTTAAATTTCTTTTAGATTTCTGGTTCTCAACAGATTCCAACTAGTTGTAGTCTATTACAACTTCAACATCAACAAAATTGTAGTGATGATACTTCGTTAAATTCACACTCAATTGGAGGAGGGGGATTTATTGTAAGGCGAAAACACACTGTTGGATCTGTGGGGACGGTAAACAGCATTCAATCAACAATTAATTCTTGTGGTGGTACTACAATTGGAAGAAAAGGAATTTTCTTTGTTAAGGTGGATAAAATTTTAAACCCATTAATAAAGTCTGGTTCTTAGTTCACAAATATCAAATTAACAAACTTTGTTGAATAAGGCTGACCAGGGTGGCCTTTTCCAAACCACTAAAATAGGGCGCAGGTACTCAAAAATAGGGAAAAAATAGGGCTAAATCGGTCAAAAGTAGGGCAAAAATAGGGAATTATTTTAAAAATATAAAAATAATTAAAATTTTGAGTAAAAATCTTTATTCCGCATGTTTTCGAATAGTTTTAACCAAATTGAGCAGATCAAGATGAAGCTGTATATAAATAAATATATTTCAAAAATTGTAAATCAAAAAAAAGATTAGAGACTGGACTGCGAGTGTCGTCTCGAATCTTGAAAAATCTCGAAAAACTGAAATTTTTATCGCAAGACAATCGTACGAGATGTCTCGAAAAAACTCGATCTCGATAATCGAGATTTTCGTTCGAGATCACGTCTCGATCCGTTCTCAAGTTCAGATATCCGAATTTGGAAGCGATAATAGCGCAAAATCCCGTAGAGATACTTTCTCTCGTCTAACTCTATTAATAAACCGACAGTCAAGATGACTGTCGTAGGTCACGACCACGTCAAGATGACCGTCGTCGACCACGACCACGTCAAGATGAATGTCGTCGACCACGACTACGTCAAGATGACCGTCGTCGACCATGACCACGTCAAGATGAATGTCGTCGACCACGACCACGTCAAGATGACTGTCGTAGGCCACGACCACGTCAAGATGACCGTCGTCGACCACGACCTCGGTCGTCGACCACGACCACGTCAAGATGACTGTCTTCGACCACGACCACGGTCGTCGACCACGACCACGTCAAGACGACTGTCTTCGACCACGACCACGTCACGATGACTGTCTTCGACCACGACCACGTCGTCGACCACAACCACGTCAAGATGACCGTCGTCGACCACAACCACGTCAAGTGACTGTCGTCGACCACGAACACGGTCGTCGACCACGAACACGTCAAGATGACTGTCGCCATCTTGAAATTTTAAAAATTGATAAAAATAGGGCAAAATATGGCAAATGTACAAAATAGAGAAAAAATAGGGCGAAAAGATCAAAAATAGGGAAAATCCTCTAAAATAGGGTAAAAAGGAGAGAGTCAGCCCTGAGGCTGACTCTTCTGGGTTTATAATTTAAAAGTAAACTAAACCATTTAGAAATCAAATCATTGTCTTTTTACATTATTAAAAATCTTATTACTAACAATTTTGTACCCATCCATTTTTAAATTATTTTTGGCGTATCTAAACCCGCAAAGTACCGGAATATGATTCTAACTCCTTAAGACAGTTGCAAATTATTCAAACCCATTTCCTTTTAAGAAATTCATTTTTGTATTCAGTCAAGTTCTCACTCTAATTTTTTAAATTAATTTAAGGAGAAACTAACACCTATTTTGGAACGTTTATTTGTTCAAGCAGTTTCCAGTCGTTCACAAGAAACAGAATTAAATTCTCTACTAAATTTAGAACAACATTGGACAGAAATTGTTAATATCCAAAAAGTTCAAAATAAACGTCAAAGCGAACAACAAGAGGCTCTTTGGGAAATTGTTTCCACAGAAAGGCGTTATATTCTTCAACTTCAATTACTTGAAGATTTAGAATGGTGTTTAATTGAATTACAACGTCAGGGGTATCTTAGAGATATTAACAGACATTGTGTTTTCCTTAATTATTCTCAACTATTACGTTGTAATTTACATTTTTGGGCTTCTGCTATTGGACCTATGCTTCAAAAATCAAGGTGAAATAAAAAAAGAAGGAAAAAGATGTGTCAGAATAAAGAAAATAACTGTTCCCATCCAATTTTTTCTTCTATAACCAGATTTTTAATTTAAATACTTTGACCCAAAATAATTTGTTGTTAAATTATTTTAAAAAATTAATTATAATTTAAAGAGAAACAAAAGATCCATTAAATGCTTTATTACTTCGGCACGGTTTTGAATCAATTTTGGATTGGTCTTTGTGTTATATAGATTTTAATATTAGTTTATCTGAAAGTCATTCATATGTTCAAAAGAAACAAAAAGAAAATGAAATGTTTGGGGAATTTGTTCGGTGGGCTGAACAACATACTTTATTAAATAGGCAAAAACTTGTTGATGCACTTAGTGGGCCGATGCAAAGAATTACTAGATATTCACTTTTATTAAAAGCTGTACAAAGAAGTGCTGCTGATACTGAGGAAAAATTAATTATACAAGTAAATTTAAAAGAAATTTTTGATTGAAATAAAAACTGAGGAGATTTTTCTTCAGCCAAAAATATACCTAGATAATAATAATAATAATTTTTAAAGTCAATGATTGATTGTGTTGAAGCAGCAACTCTTCGATTAAATTATGAAATGAATAATAATGATCTAAGAATACAATTAGCAGAATTAATGAAAACAATTGAAAGTTATGATGTTATAGATAATGATGAATTTGAAAGATTATTTCCCCTTCCTCCTTTAACTAATTTTAATAATTTCCAACAAAATAACAATTATCAACAACAACAACAATTATTATTTGCTGCAATTAATAGGCCTCCCCCACATTTTAATTTACTTTTACCTATGCCCTTTCTTGGTTTACAACAACCAAAATTTAGAAGAATGTATACACGAGGAGATTTGAAAATGCGTGAAGGAAAACAAAATCCGAAAGTAAAAAAAAGATTATTTTTATTTTGTTTATGTTGGGGAAAAAGTAATTGGATAAAGGATGGAATAAAAGGAGTCATCGTGAAATAAACCCTGATTGAAGCACAATCGACTGTGCCAACATCCAGCCCGATGTTGGGTTATCTTTATTTTATCCCTTCAGTCGCAACAATTTTTACTCCTTTATTTCCTCTCTCTCTTTTCCGAAACAAAAAATTTATTTAAAATAATTTTAATAATTAATTTTAAGCAAGAAATTCACTGTATTTTATTTACTGACATGCTTTTAATATGTAAATCTGTGTCAAGACGTAATGACCGATTAAGAATTATAAAACAACCAATGCATATTTCAAATCTTAGATTTCACCATTTTAGTGAAGGAAGTTTGTATTTATTTGTTTTTCTTTAAATTTATTTTTAAATTCTAGCTGGTTTTTATTTAATTTGTATGAATGAATTCGAATCTCCCTCACATTTTCTTTTAATGTTTACTGCTGGAATAGAAGAAACTAGACGGTGGTTAGAAATGATGGCAATGGCACAACAAGATTTTGCCTCATTAAGGGCTGCAGCAACAACAAATAATGGTGGCTAGAATTGAATAATTAAATTTAAAAATAATTATTTTTTCAGATAATTTTTTTGGTGAAAAATTTTTAACTAATTATTCTAATCAAATGACAAATAATTGTTGTAATAGAAATTGTACATTTTCTGCTGATACTCTTAGGCAAGTTGTTCAACAACAAAAACAGCAACATTTTGTTTGTAATTGTTGTTCTAATAATGTTTTACACAGAAAAAGTCGGAGTATGGATTCACAAGTTGGAAAAGATTAAATAATTTTAAGAAAAAATAAATTTATTTTTAAGGTAATAATGGCTACAACAAGTGATCTTTGCTGTGATAATTTATTAGATAATAATGATTTAATTAATTCACTAAATCAAAAACAAAATAAAGAATTTTTATGTCAATGTGAAATAAAAGAAAAGGAGAAAGAAGTTTTTGTTGAAGAATTAAATAAAGAGGGGGAAGAAATTGAAATAAATAAAAATATTTTAAATGAACAAAAAAGAAGGGAACGTTTGGGAAGACAACAAAGATTTCAAGGAAATTCAAATAATAAAGAATCCTTGCCTTCTTTTGATCAAAATATTGAAAATGATAAAAATGGTGAATTTTTTTTGATAGGAAGTAAAAAAGGAAGGAAGGAGAGGAGGGGGTATTATTCTGAGAAATTCTCTTACATGTGAGGGGGGATATACATAAGTGGGGTTACCTAATATAATATAGTATTGTCATTATTATCTATAAATTCAATTCTCTTTGTTGATTTTTTATTCATTTCAACAATTTTTAGATAAAAGTCCAACAGATAAAGATTCTTCTACCATTCCAACTTCAACAGGGGATACTTCTGTATCAACAGATCATTCTGTTGTTTTACATACAATGAATGTAGCAGCAAATACTGCTGCTGCTATAGTTACACCTGTTGTTGTTTCTAATATTGGTTTAAATACTTCCTTACCTCAAAATGGTTGTTTTTATAAGAAAATAATTTAAAAATTAATTCTTTTAAAGATTCTCAACAAAATATTTCTTCTTCCCCAATTCCAAATACTTCACCAAGTACTAATAATCAAAGACGGTTTGAAAAACGTTATCATACTGTTGGTGAAATTGACACAGTTAGACGTCAACCACAAAAACAATTTTCTACCTTAGCAAACAAACTTAATTGTACAAATGGTAATTAAAATAAAATTTTGTAATTTAGCGATACTGCCATTCCTACTGCCATCCAAAGGGTCTCCACATAAACCTTATTTCCTTCATTTCACTACTAAATAAAAATTTATTCAAAATTTAAATAAAACAATTCTTTAATTAGATGGATGTAATAATAATTTACTAACAAATGTTGAAGGAGAATGTACTTCTATATTAAATTCCTCAGATTCAAGTAATGTCTGTAATACAGAAATTCCTTCAAATATTTGTAATTCTTCCAATGCTAGTGGAATATTAAAACGTTTTTCTTGGAATGTTTCAAGCGCAATGAGCGGCTCTTCGAAGAAAATATCTTCAAAATTACAAGAATTGGTTCGAATAAATAAACAAATTAATTAATATTTTTTAATTTTTTTAAAGAATGGAAGACGTTTTAGTTCACAATCAACAATGTCCTGTTTATCTTCGGAATCTTTTGCTTCTTCTTCTTCAGGAATATCTTCTGCTTCTTCTCTTCATTCTTCCCATCATTCAACAGAAACAGCTAGTTCTAATACAACAGCACATATTTCCTGTGGAGAACCCTCTTCTATTTCGTCAAATTCTGTTTGTTCATCAACAACATCTACACTCCAAATAGCAGAATATAATACAGATTTAGATGACAGACAAACACCCCAACAACAATTAATTGATTCTTCTTCTGATAAAAATATTGTTGAAATTCAGCCTCATAGACTTGTAATTGATATTCAAGATGATGATATTCAAAAACTTGATAAAGAACAATCAACAAAAGAACAATTAAATATTGAAAATAAACAAAAAATAAATGAAAATAAAAATTCCCCGTCCCCTCCACCCCTTCCTCTAAGCCAACCACCACAATCATCAACATCATCCTCAACTGAAAGTGTTACTTTTAATAAAGATGAAACTGAGAAAAACGAACAAATTGAAGAACAAAATGAAGAAGAATATTTTAGTTTAAGACCCAGAGTTGGTGCTATGAGTTCAAATACTTCTACAGATGCTTGGAATAAAAATCAAAGACATAAACAAAATAATTTAACAGTAAATAAACTTCCCCCAATTCCACCAACACCTCCCGCAAAACCAGTAAATATTAACAACAATAATCGTCAATCTTCTCCTATTTCTAAAGATAAAAAAGTAATTTTTTAAAATTTTGTTTGGATGTTTATTTTATTTTTTAGAAAACAACAAATTGTGGCAATACTTCAGTTGATAGTAATGAAAATGAATTGATGAAATTAATTTTAAATGATAGGCTTGAAACATCGTAAATTATTAAATAAAATTCCAATTAAATTTATTTTTAAGGGAAATCTAAAATGTTTGGAGAAAGTACGAGTTTTGTGAAGAAAATTATGTGCATTGTTTTTTATGTTATTAAATTAATTAGGGTGTAAAATATGTTATTAAATATTTAATGAATTTTTAATTACAAAGCTAAAATAAATTTAATTTATATGTATCTTGTTTAAAGCGTTTTTTTTTTCTAAAAACTAAGTTAAAAAATAAGGGTTTTCAATGTAAGATGATTCTAATTTAAAATAATGATAAAGGATCAGTCGGTTGCTGGAATACAACGTTTCTGTGCCTTTGCTTTTCTCTACGCGCTTGTTTTCAAAGTTTTTGCTGAAAAATTCGTGCAAGTGAATATCAAATCGGGTTTAATATTGAAAAATGAATAGTGGACTGTTGAGGAAAAAATGAACAAATTGAGGGAAAACTTACTTTACCTCAGTCGTTTGCTGGAATTCAATTAAATTTAGGGAATAGTAAAATAAGATCTTATGCAATTACTCCCGAAAGATGAAATACTAGTATGTTAAATCAGCTCGATGCTTATGAAAAAATTACGAGATCATCCATCGAGAGACCTAAAGTCTTGGAGACCTAAAGCGGCGAATAGATTTCACTGACCTTTAAATAAAAACATTAAAATATTGCATTTTTCAGAAAATTGCAATCAATTATTATTTAAATTCATTGGGAGCAATTTAAAGTAATATTCAACAATGTTTTATCAACAACAATTCAATGACAAATATTTCATTTAAAATATTATCCCTTAATTACGTTTCTTTGTCGACTTCGCAACAGTTCCTTCGCGAAAGTTGTTTCGGAAACGACGGTGCACGATTTTCAAATGTCGCATTCTACCAGTACCAGTTGTACGACGGCGAATAGATTTTACTGACCTTTAAATAAAAACATTAAAATATTTAATTTAAAATTAGAAGCAAATTTTGATTCCAGAATTCATCTTCTTATGCTACAGGCGTGCCCCATTTCATTTTTGACCTTTCCTATTTTCAGCAATTATTTGGCCCCCTTTTTTATTTTTTAATCAAGCAAAGATAGATGATTAGAGAGAGCCTGACAATGTGATTGAATGATAGCGCTTTGCCAAAGTGATTATCGCAGGAATTTTTTGCCTAAACGAAGCTCTAGGGCATCTTATATAGATTTGTATTTCCATTATCTTAGCCGCTCAATAAAGAACGATAGAGCAGCTAGGGTGAAAACAATATCAACAATAAACCAAAATGACAAAATCTGTTGGGGATTTTTCAATTAGGAATTTGCCCATTAGACAAACGGTTTAACGAAATCATACCATTGATAAGTTCGTTTACGAGCAGCCGGATATCCGCACGATGAACACTTATGCTTTTGAATGTGGTAAGAAGAACGGCCACATCGTCGACAAAGCGTATGCGTCTTATTATGACGCTTTCCAAACGAAGACGTTCCTTTTGTCATTCTTCAAAAGATTAACTAAAATTGCTTCAAAAATTTAAATATAACAAAACAATTAATAAATGAAGGTTAAATAAAAAACCAATATATGAAATTATTATAAATTAACAAAACTTTTATTAAATAAACAACAAAATAAAACTTGTTGTATTTGCAACAAATCAGACAACAACATTCCTTACATTTTTTCCATAATAATTTCTTTTTCTATCAATTTTCCTGCTCTTCACCATCCACTAGTACCAGAGTTCCAATCACCTCCTTGTTGAGTTTGCTGCTGTTGAGGCTGTTGCTGACCAATTGGTGCAGTCGGTGCAACCTGAGCCTCCTCTTCTTGAGGCCACTCAGAAGCTGCAGCCCAATCACTAATAAGCGGAACGTTGAAGTCCAGTTTAACAGGCTCAGTCGGTGCCACGTAATCAGCCTGCTCTATAGCTTGAGGCCAAGTTTCCTTATGCTCAGATTCAACCGGTTCTTCCTTTTCTGCCTCTTGAGGATCACGGTGGAAGTACAAATCAGGCATGACATATTTACCATCAACAACAAAGCCAGTTTGGCGACTGATCTTTCCGCGGAGCAGCAAAACCTCACGAGCAAGTAACCACCAAACCAATCCAATTGAGTATTTATTCTAAAAGAAGTATATGTAGTGAGACTAAACACAAAACAAAAAACCTTAAGATTGCAAGGAATTGCGATATCGATAAACTTCAAAGGCGAATCGGTATTGCAAAAAGCAATCACAGGCACATTCACATAAGACGCCTCAGTAAGAGCCTGATGATCGATGCGCGGATCGGAGACAACAAGAAGACGTGGCTCCTTGAAGTTTTTCTGGATTTGATTTGTCAATGATCCTGGAGTAAAGCGTCCAACAATAGGTGTAGCACCAGTATGTGAAGCAAACTAAAGAAAATTGTGTTATATACGAAAATTACAAAGTAACCTTTAGAATAGCTCTTTGTGCGACACCCAAAGCAGAGACGACAACAACATCAGCAGGATTTTCGATGGCAGCAATGGCCCGTGCAGCAAACAGCAATTTCTCCCACAGCTTTCGAATGTTAATGATATGAACACCTTAAACATTCAGCAATGAATAACACTAATAAAAATCCAACCGTCAGCACGTCGCTTCCAAACATAATTCTCCATTTGATAATCCAAAGTTTTGGTTCCAACATGAGACTCACAAACAAGCAACTTCATTGCTTCGTCATCCGTTAAATTAAAAACGTCAAGTCCGTTAGACATTGATTTTTATAATTTGAAATTGACCTAAACTTTTAATTTTATAAAATTAAAATATAAAAATAAGGATATCATAAGAATTACAAATTCAGAGCAGAAAGAAAAATGAGACAAAATATAATCAAGAACAAGAAGATTTGGATATTTGGAATCGAACAAAAGAATCCGAGTTTCAGTTCCGAAATGAAACTCTACTGTCCCCCAAAGTCCATTTGAGTATATGGCCGTTACAGAATTGGCCGTTTCAGAGTATTTAACAGTTTTATCAAAAAGATAAGGCATCTCGAAAAATTTCGGATATAATTTTGCTTATAATTTTGATATAATCGTGCTTGTGATTTCATTCTTTTATTTTGTTACAGAATTTTGATGGGAAAAGATAGCGGCGAAATTTTACAGTTATGTGATGAAGCCGAGTTTGTTTTATCTAAACTAAACTATTCATAATTCCTAACTTTCAGAGGTTCTGATTCGGATTCAGATATTCAAATACTTTACGAAGCTGACGCAAGCAATGTAATGCCTGAGCCAGACTCGGGTTTTTCTTTTTTCATTGACACTTCTTGTACTGATTCTTGCGAGAAAGATTCTCCTTCAACTACTAGTAATGGGTTAGTAATTTTGATATATTTTTCTATCCAGTATTTTTTTTACTTTTAGAATTTTGAATTCATCGAATATTCTATCTCATTTGATTGAAACTCCTTCAAGTGATAGCACGCCAAAAAATAATAATCGCAGATCTGATAGGGTAATATTAATTTTTTATTAATTAAAAAATCTTTTAGGCTTGTTTTAATTGCAATTCTTTTGATCACACCTCTCGTGAATGCCACCATCCTATAAATAATGGACGTATTGCAAAAAATCGAAAAAGTTTTATGCAAAAAAGAGAATCTGGTAGATTCCACGAACATACCCAAACAGATGCTCTAACAGCTGGTAAAATAAGTAGACGATTGAGAGAAGCGTTGGGGATTAGCGAGAGGGATTTGCCTGAGTGGATTTATAGAATGAGAGGACTTGGATTTGTTCATGGATATCCTCCTGCTTACAGAAAATGGTTAGAAAAACTTTTTTGTTAATTTAAAGTTATTTCTAGTGCTACTGAACTATCAGTTTTTAAAATGCATTTTGGTGAAAATGCTGATAGAAAGCGAAAACATGATGAAATTAAAGGTGGGGGAATATATGAGAAATTTTAATTTCTATAATTTAGAAGATGTAAATTTGAGAATTGATCCAGAAAAGATTATTAAATATGCGGGGTTTAATTATGATGATGGCCATTTTAGAGATGTATGTGTTAATATTTTTTTAAAAATAAAAAAAAATTTAGAAAAGAAAAGAACGTTATCGAATACCTCCTTGGAATGAATTTGTTAATGTTCAAGAAGTTTATTTATTACAAATGGATGTAGTTGATAAAATGGAAAAAGAAACAGAATCCCCGTCTAACCCAAAGAAGTCAAAATTAGATTATTCAAACAAGAGAAAAGATTCTGATAGTGAAGATGATTCTGATATTTTAATAGTCGATACTCGGCCAAATAGTAATGGCCTTGAAGATGGAGAAATACCTAGTGAAAGAATTGTTGATTTAGAGACAAATGTTGTTGTTCGGAGAAGAAAGGTTTTAGTAAACATAAAAATGTGAAGTGTTTTTTCTTCAATTTTAGGAAGAAACTACAACTATTATGCATATTCCACCAGAGGAAAATAAAAATTTAACAAATGAAGATAAAAAAGATGAAGAAAAAATAACAGAACGAGATAATCAAAAAATAAATGATGAGCGAAAAATAATTGATGAAATGCGAATTCCTGCCGAGAAGCTTATTTTTAACGACAAAATTAATTATGATGTTAGAAAACCTTCACTTGATAGTTTTGCGCAAGTTTTGACAAAAATTCTTTTAAATTGTTTATTTAAAATTCTATTTTAGATATCCAACCATTTAGACATCAAGTTATTGGAAAGAGTCTTGGATTTGTAAAACGTTTACAAAATATTATGAAAGATGTAAAAGAGAAGACAAAAAAGAATATTTAATAATTGTGTTATTTTGAGATTTTAAATTAAATTCTGTAAAAATCGTTTTTACATTGTTTTTTCCCAAGTGTTAGTAAACATTAAAGCATGCTTATATTGTTTTAATTTTCTATTACTCAATGTACAGTATTTCTTATACATACCTTAGTATATGTCAGCATAATTCTAAGAAAATGTCTCTAATTTACAAATTTCTCTTGAGTTTGGGTTGGGTTCCTCAAATTTTTCGTATCCTGGTAAGTTCCGAACAAAAAATTTGGGACCTCCCCCCAAGTTTAAACTCCACGAAGAATTTAGAGTTATTTCCTAAAATAGATGTAAAATTTATGAACACGTAAATGGTTAATCACCTTAATCCCTCTTAAGCAAATTAAGCAGAAATCGCACACCTCCCTCTTAATCGTCATATATATCCCCTTAATCCCCACAAATCTTTGAAACAGTTAAAACGAATAAAAATATATTGTTATTCCTTTTGGAGTAAGATCGAAAGACATGCGCGTGGGATTTTTCTAACAGGCTCATTGGGTGAAGCCTTCCTGATCCACGCTCTTACTCAAAATTTTAAAATTAAACTGCTTCAAAAAATTCTCATTGCTATCGAAATCAGAACAATTAATTACCTCTCACAAAACCGAAAGGGCTAAATTCTGCATGTAAAATATTAAAAATTTTGAATGATCTATCCGAAAGATCATTCAAATACATATTCCAATTACATATTTTTAGATTTACTTTAATAATTTCAAGAGCATTAATAAATCAATCTAAATTTTATCAATTTATGTGTAAATTTGCAAAATGTTTGAGCAGGAAAGAGAAAATTTCGTTAAAGGCGCAGGTTTAAAAAAATGCTTACAATTTTTGAATTTAACATTTTTAGTGACTCGAGCTCCAGGAAAGAGGCAAATAAAGCCAAGTGTTGCTTTATTTGAAGCTGAATTTAATAATGGAGTAATTGACGGTGATGATGATGAAGATTTGGACTTTACAGGTAACTTTTGGATATTTTATTGAAAATTATTAAAAAATAATTTTAGCGGAAGATCACTCTGGTCATTCCATTTCTGGTGGGTCTAATGGTTCTGAAGAAAGTGAGAGTGCTACTGGATATGAGAGTGGTTCTGAGGAGTCTGAAAGTGGTAAAATGAATGAAGAGGGGAGTGATGAAATTGTATTTAAATTATTAAATTGTTTTTTAAATAAAATATTTTAGGATAATATTCCAAGTACTTCGTCTGGAAATGTTACAAATTGTCAAAATAACTGGTTAATTGATAAAAATGAAGTTTGTTTATTTAATTTTAAATTATTTTTTTTATAAAAAGAAATTGTCTCAACTTTGTTCAATATGCCTTAATGACAAACAATCTGAAATTTTTGGAGATTTAATTCAATGTGACAAGTAAATATTTTAAAATATTATTTTTATTTTTAAATTTAAGATGTGGATTATTAGTTCACGAAGTCTGTTATGGAGTTGCTAATGAATTAATTGAATCCTCTTCTAGCAACAGTCAAAGTTCTTCAACCTCAACAGAACCCTGGTTTTGTGAACCTTGTTTGTTTGGGGATGGAAGTATTCCTTATTGCCAATTATGTCCAAACAGATTTGGAGCTTTTAAACTTTCTGGTTTTTCTTTCTAAATAAAAAATAATTATTTTTTAAATATTCTTTAGACATCCCAAATAATTGGGTTCATTTAATTTGTGCTCTTTATACTCCGGGTATTCAATTTGTTGATCAACAACATTTGTCAGGCATTAGCTGGCAAAATATTGATTATCGAAATTTTGGGAGAAAACAATGTGGTGCTTGTATTGATCAATTAGATTCTAGAACTGGAATTACTGTAAAATGTGATGCCGGTCTTTGCAAAAATTTTTATCATGTTACCTGTGCACAAAGGTTTTTTTAAATATTTTCCTGACATTTAAATCTCTTTTAGATTGGGTTTATTAATTGAGAATCACTTACCTCGAACAACAAACAATCCAGATATTGGATATATTTATTGTAAATTTTTAAATAAGGAATTTATTTTTTAAATTTTTTTAGGTAAACGGCACAATAGCCATGAAGTAATGATAAATGCACAAAAAATTGCGTAAAATATTTAAAAATAAATTTTAAACTTTTATTTATTTTTTTTAGATTTTCAAAATTTATGAAGCAAGAAGATCGTCGAATGGTGGAATTTAGACATATTCAATTAAACCCGCGTCAAGAAAGAAAATGGCAACATCAACTAGAAATTAGATCGAAAAAAAAGAAAGATTTAATAATTCCAGAATTTACTCATCAGGTTTATTTTAAATTAAAAAAATTAAAATTAAATTCTTTTCAAAGAAGAAAGTAAAATTATTACATACAAGTCCGCAATATTTAAATGAATTTGCTGAAAAAGCTGAATTGCTTGGAATTAATCGACAACAATTTGAAGAAGAATTTTATAAAGTTCCAGCCTCTCAACTTCCTATGGGATTAACACCTGCATTTTCTGTTGATTTTATAAAGTAAATAATTTAAAACAAAATATTTTTAAAAAATATTTTTTAAAAGTTATATGACATATCGAGATAATGTTGTTTTGAGTGAAGAAGAAAAATGTATTCCAAAATTACAACATCAAAAAGAACAACTTTTAGAAAATCAAACACAATTAGAAATAAATATTCAAAAAGTTTTTTTTAAATTAATTAATTAATTGTAAATAAATATTAATTTAAAGGCAAAAGAAAGACATAATGAATTGAGTGAAAGAATTACTTCAAAACACAAGTTATTTGAAAAATTAAAATCTGTTCTGAATTCTATTTCGCCTTCATTAATTAAGGAAGAAACAATTAATAGACGACAATCTTTATTGGTACATTCTATATTCTAAAATTAATTTTAAAATTTTTTAAAGAATCCAGAGAATTGGAATAAAGCAGTGTACAGTATTTCAAGACTGAGTGCAGATTCAACAAATATGTAAAAAATTTAGTTTTTAAACCTAATAACAGGGGGAGATAACCGACAGTACCGATGGCTTTTTAGCCTTCCAAAATTCTAAAAATTGGTAAACAGTACTTCCCAAGTTCCAGTCAGACTCGCGAAACGTTTTACAATACCAAAAGTTTTCAAGATCAAGAGACACTATTACCAATTAATTTTCTATTTAAAAGATTGCCTTCTATCAAATCATTCCAATCTTCCCCAAAACAATCAGAATCATCTAAAACTTTTGGAGATGTTATTCCAACAACAATTTTTTCTTCAAAATTTGGTTCTCCTTCTAAACAATATAAAAGATTAATTTCTTCCACAACATTACCTTTATCGTCTATTCTAGATGGAAATGATAAAATAAATACAAAAAACTTTAAAAGGTTTTTTATAAAAATTTTATTTTATTTATAATTTAAAGACGTGCAACTGATATTGGAGGAGGAACACCTTCAAAATTTAAAATAATTTCAATCGAAAAAAAGGAATTATTGAATTGTTTTAAATGCAAATCGGTTAATTAATTTATTTTTTAAAATTAAATTTAAATTATTTTTTAGATGAAAGAACCTCATCTTCTTATTAATTGCGAAACTTGTAATTTTTATTATCATATTGGTTGTTTAGATCCACCACTCGAAAAAATGCCTGTTAAAAATAAATTTTCTCGTTTTGAATGTTCTGATTGTGCAGAAAAAAGAATGGAGGCAGAAGAAGCGGCATTAGAAATGAAAATTGAGGAAATATCAGAAAAATGTCCACTTGCTATTGGACGATCTAGACGAAAGCCTCGGACAAAATTATTTTGAGTTTGGAAAATTCTTTGCCAATTTTATAAAATTTTAAATTTTCATTGTTATCTTTCAATTAATTTTAAATTGAATAATTTAAAATTATTATTTTTAATGATGGGGTGATTAAGGAAATTAGAATACTTTGGGGTTAAATGGAAGATTAAAGAGGTTGATGAATTGATAAATAATGGTATAATAACTAATTTAGGGTAATCCTTGATTGGTTTTATCTCTCGGAAATATAAATTTCAATGTCTATACATATAACAAACACATGTATATAATTGACTATTTTCTTAACTAAATACAACCCTTGTTATAAGAGAATATATAAAAAAAAATAATCCAACGTTTAATTACATAAAAATTAGACATAGCCAATAGGATAAATATAAGTTAACATTTCAGCCCAATAAACATTTCCTAAGGAACGTTCAATTTGATAAATATAAACCCAACAAATTAATAATATTGCCCAAATTAATGTTCCAATTGCTGACAACAAAACATAACGTTTCATTTCTTTTATTAAATTATTATTTGTTTCTCCAACATTTTCATCAGATTTATATTTTTTACCAAAAGTATATCTAAAATAAAAAAATAAATATTAACAAATAAAATATGTAGAAATTACCGATAAAACCAAATAAAATTAACAAGCCACAAAATTGGAAGAAATGCAAATCCTAATAGAAAATAACGACGACAAAGTTGTAATCTTTCCTTTTCATTTAGTTTATTTAGATTTGTAGCCATTAAATTCTAATAAAAGAACAGAAAGAAACTAAATTTAAAATTTTTTATTCATTAACGGATTATGAAAATGTGATTTTGTCAGAACAAAGTGGGTACGTGACAGAGTTGGGTCCTCCCACAATTTAAAACCCTTGATAGGGACTATGTGGCGTGGCCCGGTTTGGCGTGACTTGTCTGACGCAAGGCAGGAAGTTTACTGAGTCAGTTGGCAAGTGACATATGCAGTTGGCGGGACTCAGTCGTTGAGTTTCATCCTAAGTAACAATTCATCGGATATTTAATTAGTGTTTGAGATATATTTAAGAATTTTTATATTTTTAGAAGATTTTCTATTTAAATTTAGTTTAAATTTTAATTAACTATAATGTCACAACAACATAATCAATCTAATACAAATACAAAAACTTCTCATTCAACGGTAAATGGTGGAGATGTTAGAATTAGAACTAGTAATGGTATCGAGTATATATATTTTTTTTTTGAAAAATAATTAAAATGTTGTGAATGGAATTTGAATAAATAAGGGGGGGGGGTATTCGAAAGAGATTTGAAAACTAAGTCGAACTAGGGGATAATACCCTCTAAAATAAATTTATTTTTAAGGGGAAGTATATATTCCTGCAACTCAACGTCCAGATGGAACTTGGCGAAAAGCTAGAAAGGTTAGAGAAGGACATATTCCACAAGATGAACAGCCACGTTTTGAATGTAAAGCTCAATCAGAATTTAAACAAACATCGAAAACTAGTGGAAATTCCGTTAATTATCCAGGTTTTTCTTAAACTTCTCTTCTAAAAATTTTTTGTTTAAAAAAAAGTTGGTTGGTCCCCTGTTGATATGGTTAAAGAACAAAAAAAGAAAATAATTAAAAACAATTTATCAACATCTTCTTCAACTAAACCAACAATAGCTGTCGACAATCCAAATGCCCCAATTACTCCAAAAGATTTTATTCAAAAACAAATAAATAAATTTCAAAAGAAAATTGAGGAAATTGATAAACTTAAAGTATTTTCTCGTTAATTAAATTAAAAAAATATTTTTTTTTAATTTTAAAGGAAAAAATAGAAAATGGGCAACTTAAAAATCCAGAAAAAAATCAATTAGAAAAAATTTCAAAAAGAAAAGAAATTGAAGGAGAAATTGAAAGTTTAATTGAAAAATTAAATAAAATGTAAATAAGTACATCTAATCTTTTATTTTTTCTTCAAAATTATTTTATAAAAAAATGGAAATTTTTTAGATTTTGTTTTTAGTTTGTTCTAAAATATTTGTAATTGCTATAACATCTCTTTCCATTACTTTAGACCAATTTTCAACATCGCCAATTTCCTTAAATTATTAGGGAATTTAAGAGAATGATTTTTCGAATTTAATTAATGAAAATGTTTGTGGATGTGGGAGGATATCGGGAAGTGGATATGTTTTTGATGATTGTCTTTGGATATACCCCTGATGAATATGTCTTTGTATATATTTGTCTCGCTTTAGGCCCCGATTCGTATCCCCCCCCCCCTCCAGCAAAATTTGTAATTTTTTGAAATTATTTAAAAAAACATTTAATTTTTAAATTTAACTAAATTTCGTTATCAACCATTAATTTACTTAAATCTAAGAATTATTTTTAATTTTTCGGTAAATATTCTGCTTTTTAAAATGCATATCTTTATTGTATATTTCCCGTATTATCTAATTTCCCATATTTTATTAGGTGCGGACATAATTAGTGGCCGTTTTTTTAGACTAGATTTTTAGGGGTGTTGTTTTACAAATATTCTTTTGTATTATTAATAAACATATAGATCTGAATCTCCTCTTCATTTTAATACAAGTTACAGCCATATATGGGTAATATTCTTAAAGTTATGATTTTTTGAACTTCACTACCTCGTAGTGAAATTCACAAGCATTTACACCTAAAATTATAAATTACCAAAACTGCAACGCAAGAAGCAAAAAATCATAATGAGCTAGTCAATGGGTTCGTTATCTATGCTAGACAGCAAAAAATAGGGTTCAGGCTTTATGAATAAGGCCGCACAACTCTCAGATGCAAACATGGTCGAGGGAGACAGCTGTCATTAAGAAAACGGTCCTGCTCGTTTGGTTTAGATGAAATCCGCTTATTTCTACTGCTGAATTATAGAGGGATATCAGCTCTATACGTATGTCCACGCGTGACTCAAAAAACGCGGTCTGCGCTTGAGGAAGGCAAATCAAATGCCGCGTGTACGCTCTTTTGCACTGATGGGAAAACGACACGACACTCCCCCAAAAAGTTGTTTCTTATAACTCAGCGTAAAATCATCCGATCAGGATGATCTAAACGGTTTTTTAAATCACATAGAGGGCTTATTCTAAATCCGAGGTATAAAGTCTGTAAAACGTGTCGAACCCGGAATTCGAATTTCGACATTTTCAAAAAATTTCGACCTTTCGGATTAAAAATTCGACATTGTGGCCGACGGATAGAGATTTTGAAGAGCTTTCGAATGATATATTACACTAAATATTAGCATTACATATACTCGAAAAAATTTGATTTTTGATGATTTCGAAAATTTTGACATTTTCGATCAGAACTCCCTGAATACCTAACCAAAAATTTCCAAATTCTGGGATCATTTAGAAAACACACTGACAAATGATTCGGTATAAAAATAAAAAATATTTTTAAGGAAATTAATTCTAAAAAACCAAATTAAAAAACGGCCACTAATTATGTCCGCACCTAATAGCTATTCTCTAAAAATAAAAACCTTTAATGTTTGATTCATTTGTTCAACCAAATCCACCCATTGTTCTGCATATTTAATTAAATTACAACTTTTATTTTCTAATTTTTTACATTCAACATCAAGTCTTTTTTGATTATTATAGGCATATGAAACTCTTTTAATTTAAATTAAAAAATATTTTTAATTTAATCAAAAAAACCTTTTATTTAAATTTTCAACAGTTATTTCTGTTAATTGATGGGCAGCAACAATTGCCTCATTTTTACGTTTTTCTTTAAAAAGAAATTTTTTTAAATTTAATTATTTAAACTTGCCTTGCATTTCTTTTGAAATATTTTGTTTTATATTATGTTCTTTTATCATATTAGATAATATATTATTATTTCGTCTTTCCATTTTTAACAATTAAAATAAATTTAAAATATATTTATTGATAAAAATAATTAAAAAAAGTTTTTTTTATTTGGAGAGTAAAAATAAAGAAATACTAGGGCAAATTGTATTGGGTCAAACCCAGGAGGTTAACACCAAAGATGGGGAAAATAAAATTTTGCTCTCTACGAAATGTAAAAAATAAATTTCATTTTTACGAAACGAAGGTCTCAACTCCCGTCTTTGCCTGCGGCGCTGAACCTCCATTCCAGTCTCCGGAGAGAAAATTTTTCAAATTTTGACTTAATAAGACCTTTGCTTATTTTAAGTTGCTACGTCCAATAATATCAAATCCATTTTCGTTATTTTCGTCCAAAAATGGCAGTTTACGAATTGCGCGAGAGAAGCTTTCTGTCCCTTAATCTCCTTACTCCCAACAAGCCTCCGAAGGAGTCGGTAAAGACGTCGCCCAGTGCTCACGGATACTTGTCGTTAGAAGAACATCAAATTCAATGTCATAACTCTCTATGGAACACATTGAGAAAAAAATTTATTAAAAATTTGCCTTAACCAAACTTAGGAGTTTGGAATTTCTAAAGAAAAAATTTCTGGAATCTCAAGATGAAGTTTAAATGTATTTTTAATACATGTACATATTTATACATTATAAGTAAAATTTTATTTAGTAAATCAAAAGATTTTTAAATTTATAAAATTTATTTTGAATTATAAAGCCACCGATTGAGGTAAATTCACCGTTTAAAATAAAGTTTCCCTTTTGAAGGGGTTAGAAACATAAAATACCCCTCCCCCTTCTCCCTCTTTCCCATCCCCCACAGCTTTCAAAATTTACGGTAATTAAATATTTTAAATTAAAAATATGTAGAGAGAGATATTTATATAATTATTTTTATTTAATATAATCCACATCCTTTTAATTTTGAACTTAAAATAACATCAAGTGTAGAATCGAGAACAAATTGGACCTAAAAAATATTTTTTATTTTTTTCTCCTTTTTAATTTTTACTTGTTTAGTGTCTGTTGCACAAGTATGGTGGCAATAAATTGATTTATTAGGGACTTCATTTGCCATAAAAAATTTCTTTTCGATATATCTAGAGCTTGATTCGTAATTATCTGGACCTAAAAAGAGGAGTTTTTTTGTCTTTTAACCAACAAAAATATTTTTTAAATTACCATTAAATTCTTTAAAAGCAATTCTTAAAGACCGTCCTTGACTCATTTTTTCAGCAAATAAATCTTTTTTATTTAAAAAGAGAATTATCTAAAAATTAATTTTTAATTTTATTTAATTAATTAAAAACTTACAGAAGTCTCAATAAAATATTTATTATTACAAACTTGCTTAAATAATTGTAAGGATTCTTGTAAACGATTCTTTAAAAAATTAATTTTTAAAATTTTTAAATTAAAAACAGCCATACAGTAGTTCCATCTTCCATTAAGACTTGATCAAATTCACTCATTGCCGTCACAAAAATTAAAGCCCTAACATCATCAAAACAATGTATCCACTTTTTCCTTTGTGAACGTTGCCCCCCAACATCAAATACTCTTTAAATAAATTTTATTTTCAATTATTTCAAAATTAGTACCTCCAAATTTTTTCTTTAATTTGAAATCTAACTTCAATTACCCCCATTGTAGCTACTCTAAGGAAAAGAATATCCTTTAAAAAAATATTTTTTTCTTTTTAAAAAAACAACACAAACTTGTGTTGTCGGAATATAATTTTGATCATTAATTCTGTCAAGGGAATCCAAAAAACTTTAAAATAAATTTTTTTTAATATAAATAAATTAATTTACTGTTGAGCACAATCTGGGACATAAAATTCTGATTTTCTACTCATTGCAGACTTTAAATATTATTTTTAAAAAATACATAATTATTTAAAAAATTAATTTATACTTGGACTCCTTTATCTGTCCATAATTCTTTTAAAGCAACATAAATATGTTCTCTCATTGGCTTTAAAATACATAATTAATATTTAATTAATTAATTACTTCAGTTTCTGCATGTTTAGCCATTATTGCATGTATTAAGCGGCAATGTTCCTTTTTTTAATAATTAAAATAAAAAAATTTTTTTAAATTTACTTGTGATGATTGAGAAGCAAAAGCTAATTTAAGTTTATGCATTCCACTAAAAATTAAGATATACTGTATATACTCAAATAATTACCCTGCCATCGATAAGCTTAAACAATAATTACTCAGGGTAATGGGGTTAAAGACCTAAAAACATGATAGACACCATTTATACCTTTTATTTCTTTAAAACTTTAATCATGAGGATCAGGAGGAATTAAAGAGGATAATGAGAGACTTGGCGTAATTAAGAGGGATATTGGAAGAGTTGGAAGGATGTCGGGGATATCATGACATTTGGAAGGATATCGGCGGATTTCAGGGAGTAAATAAGGATATCGGTGGATTAAGGACAAGATCATGGATATCAGCAGTTTTGGAGAGATATGGGGATATCAGGAGAAAATCTGCTTCACATATATCGACCTTAATCCCTCAATATCCCTCCAAATTCACCTAGTATATCCCCTTTAATCCCTTCAGATCTCCGATTAAACCTGTAACGAAATAAAAAGTAAAAAATAGTGTTGATCAAAAGTTTGTAGGTCTTCGGCGTAATACGTCTTCAGAGATGGACTCAGGGTAATTATTACAGAATATATGGGTATATTTTTTTTAAATAATAATTACCTCAAAATAAAAAACATTGCCTATAAAAAAATTATTATTTTTTTCTTAAAAGTATTTTTCTTTCAAAAATTACTTGAATAACATTTCCATAAACTAAATTCCTTTTAGACAACAAATCATTATCAGAAAATCCATTATCGTGAATTATTTTTAATTGTTTTAATACTGTACTCTTTCCACTTTCCCCTGCACCAAGTAAAAGTAATTTAATTGTGGATTCATTATTTCTTCTATCAATATCAATTTGTCTTTGAATTTGGAAATTAACATCACTTTGACTTGAAAAAATAATTTTAAAATTTTTAAAAATAAATTTTTAATTTACTTTTTATCATCTTGTGTTGTTGTATTACAATTTCCCATTTTTAATATTTTTTTCATGAGAAGAATTAAAATTGCTACTCAATGAGAGAAGCGAAAATGAGAGAAATTAATATTTAAAAATAAAATAATTAAAAGAATTAAGAGAATTAAATATTTATAATTTGTCAGATTTTGTTTTATTGTAGGCTTAATTGTCTAGAAAATATAACTAAAATAGTAAATTTTAAATTGGATACGGATAATATCTGTATAATATCCGTGGATATATCCGGATACGGACAGAAATGGATAATGCTTTTAAAAATAGGACGGATACGGATATTATAATCCAAATCCGCGGATTTTGATATGTAATTAAATTTTAATTTTTTTAAGTCGAATCTCGATAAAACACGAAGGTCTGGCAAATTAGCTACATGTTTTGTAATAAAAATTAAAATTATTTTAATTAATCTTAAATTTTTTTTGGAAAATTTTTATTAAATTTGGAGAATGTTACCAAAACAACAAAATGTGCAGTAAATTTCTCTCACATTTATAATTAATTAAAAAATGTTAATTAAAAGAATATAAAATAAACAAATTCGACTTAATGTAAATATAAAGGAAAATTAAATACCTAATTTTTGTATTATGTTAATTTGAAAAATTTTTGGAAGATTTTTTAAATTTAAACAAAAAGTTAATATTTTCTTGTAAAAAAAAGAATTACCTGTACATATTTACTTAGTTATATTAAATTACCTTTACGTGAATGGCACCAATTTATTTATTCTTTTTTGGATTTTAACATTGTCTCCTTGACAACTTTTAATTATTTATATGCAGCTGTATTTTAAGTAACACGATATTAATTGTGTTGGCATATAAAAAAATAATGAAAGTTTTAGATAATTATTTTAAACAAATGGGCAACTGTTTTGAAGGGATAAATGGTAATTATTACCGTTTTCTCTTTAATAAAATAATCTCTTTATTTGAATCGGTATTCGGAGCGAGATAATCATTTTTCAATACTTTTTTCGACATTATCAATATCAAAATTTGAAAAACCATTTTCCGCCATTAATTTAAATAACCCCCCAATTTAATGAATGATTACTATATTTGTACTTTTTTTGATTTTTATTAAATTATATTAAAAATATCTTAACTTTGCTCAACATTGTCAACAACAATTATTAGAAATAGGAAATTTTAAATAGAAAATAAAAATACATACATAAATTAATTTATTAATTTTAATCTTTTTTAATTTTCTCTCCCAAAATTATCCTTTTGCTTACCTCATAATAATTTATTTTTTTATTTCATTTAATAATAAACAAAACTATTAAAACAAAAAGGAAATTCGTAAAATAATCTTCAAACAAAAAATATTAATAAAAATTTAGGAAAGAATACAATAATAATAAGTAATTTTGCCCTAATGAAAACAATAAAAAACAAAAGATTCAAGAGTTTAAAAGTATAAAAAAATATAATTAATATAAATAAAATGGGCAATTTTGGCAAAATAAGGCATTTTAATTTAAAAGAATGGTTATATATTTAAATATTAGCATGTAATTTCCAAAAATAAATTTTAAAAAGAAAATTTTGCGTGTAAAAAAGTTAAAAAAATTCTTTTCAAAAAAGTATTTTTGCAAATTTTAATTCAAAAATGCAAAAAATACTTTTCCTTTCTTTTATATAATAAATTCTATTTTTAACACATTTACAAAATTTATTTACAAAAATCCACTACTCCAACGAAGTAAATTGCTACGTTTTTGTTTATTAAGTTTTTTAATTTCAGCAGGGTGTTGGTTTGAATTAGAAATTGTTGAAGATAAATTTGGAGTATTTATATAATTAGTTTTTGATATTTTCTTTCTTAGAATACAATTAGTCATTGGAGATAAAGGATCTGGAGCTACAGCATAAAAAGGATTGCATTTCTCAGGGAAGACTAATTCACCTTAAAAAAATTAAAAATACTGACATGAGTGGGAGACAAACAAAAATTTTTTCATTCTCTCGATTATGGAAATATATCGAAAGAACCCAAACAAAAACTTCAATTTACAAAATAAGGAAAGAAATCTCTCGGAAATAATCCTCATAAACCCCAAAATTTATTTTTAAATAATTTACCTCCATCTGGAAGTAATTGAACCAAGCAATAGTCTAAAGCTTCTTCTGGATCTATCAAATGTTTTTCAAGAGCTCTCCTAACAACTTGTATCATTTTATCTCCATTTATAACTTTTATACACTAAAAAATTAAAATAAATAAATTTAAAATTAATTTTTACTTTATAATTTGTATTTGTAGTTGTTTCTAATTCATTTTGTAAAGAATCATCTAATCCTACACGAACTAAATGGAAATTTTGTTCTTCTCTTGGGCAATTACTAACAGACATAGATGATGGGGAAATACCTCCAAAATAATTATTTTGTTGTTGTTGTTGAATTAACATTCCTAATGATGAACGAGAAGAGGAAGAACTTGTTGTAGATTTCTTAAATTAATTTTTTAAGAAAAACAAATTTTCTTTAATTAAATATATTTTTTCTATTTTCTAGTTCCACACATTTTTAACCAAAATTTTAATTTATTAAGTATAACACCATTCAATTTATTTTAAATTAATCCCTCACCCTCTTCCTCCAAAAATTATTATAATTTAAATAAAAACCTGAAAATGTTTTTTTCGTTCCAAAACTTCTTTTAAATAATCATTCTCTTCTTTTATAATATTTTGATTTGTCGTAGGAAATCTATTAAATTTTCCATTACTACTACTTGTAGTTGGTTCTGTTGAAATTGGGCTTGGAGTACAAAGAGAAGAAGATGCAAAAGAGGTAGAAGTTGAAGGTAACATTGAAGGGGATTTTTTGTGAGGCTTTTAATAAAAATATATTTCACTAAAATTTAAAAAAAAACTAACCACAAAATTCGGAGTAATTTCTTTCCCTAACATGATTTCTTTTGAACAAGAACCTTTTAAAGAAAATATTCTTTTAAATTTTTTAAATTTTACTTGAAAATCTTTCCTCTCTAAATTCATTTTCCTCATTTCTTTTCTCAGACAATTTTTGTGTTAAATAACCATTAATATTATTTTCTGTTGTTTTATATCTACAATCTTTTTTCGAACCTTGACTTCGACTTCTTAATTGACTTTTTGGAGGTTTTTCTAATAATTTACCAGAAGGGGGATAATTACTTTCATTTGAATAATTATATTTTTCTATAAAATATTTAATTAAAAAATATATATTTAATTAATTAATTTACCTAAAGTTTTCATTTTTTGTCGTTGTTCAATAAATGAAGAATTTCCAAGAGGAAAACTTAATTCTTTAGGAGAAGAATTTAAACCAGAAAATATTTTACTTAAAGAATTAATTTTCCCCATTTGAGGGATAAAAGCGTCGCGAGTTTTCCTCCTTGCAGTTTCTGGTGTCATTTGTTGTTCATTTGTATAAGGCTCAATGTCGAGTGAACGAACAAAACTAAAAAGTTTTTTTGAGAAAAAATAGATAAAAGGAGAAAAGGAAAATGAAATTAGATAACGGAAAATAACTACTAACAATAAACTAATTTAATCAAAAAATTATTTTTTACCATTCTTTTTCATCTAAAGCAGGCAAAAAATGAAACCAAACACAAAATGCTTGATCCATAGAAAATGAATAAGCTCTAGCAGCTGATTGGTAAAGCCTTAATTTTGCCAAAACTTCGAATTCAAATCTGTGTTTCTCAAAATTTATAAGTCCATTATCTGTTTTGTCAGGATGGGCCTAGAAAATTGGACAAATATTTATTTAATAGATTTTCAAAAAACCTGGTCTATCATTGCAAGTTCTGTCAAAAAAGTACCCAAATAGGGGCAAATTCCTTGTGTTGTTTCAAAAGACATATTTAAATCGCTTTTTGTTCGTCTAGGGGGCTTTTTTGGTGTTAAATTATCTAATAAAGAACTATCATTTTGATATTCTGAAAAATCTTCCTCCTCAATATTTGACTCAAAAATTGATGATAATTCATTTAATTGAGATAAGGAATTTCTGAAAAAAAAGGAGAAAAAATAATTTTAAATTATTTATAAATTAAAACAAAAAAGTCTTTTACTTTGAAACTAATGACCAAACATTTTTAAGTCGAAATACTGGTTGTGATTGCAAACTTGAAAGAACAGCTTTGAGCGAAGACAAATTATTTAAAGAATGTAATTCCTAAAAATTAAATATTTTTTAAAAATTATTTTTAAAAAATACTTTTGCAATATTAATCCATTTTTCAATTATTTGTGCTCTAAATTCTGTTTTACAATCAGGCAAAACAATGCTAGTCATTACTCTTTGACAAAGAGAATTAAATTGGTCTATAGTTGCTCGAACACTATATACATAATCAGAATTTAATTTATGCCGTTTTCCCCA